TCCGAGGTTCATTAGCCCTCTCTGCTAATTGCCTAATTGCAGCAGACAGATGAACCCCTCAGAGCCGCCCAGACAAAGCCCCTTTCCTCCAGCTCTCTCTGTGCAGGGGTTCTCCTGATGCGGTTGGAAAGGTGGGTGGTTGGACCATCACTCCTTTTGCCTTTGGAAGATCATTCTGGGAATGTAGAACTGTGGAATAGTGTGAGCTGGAGGGGACCTTTTGAAGGTCATCCAGTTCAACCCCCTCAATGAGCAGGGAGGGTTGATTTGGGTACCCTTAGGTTGTACTCCTCCCCTCTCCCTAAATTGTCCTCTTAGCTTCAGGAATTATTACCCATGGCATTTCCAACATGCCATCCCCTTGCCCTGCCCCAGCAGGTCACCAAGCTGGGCTCCAGCTCCTGAGCAGGGTTTTACAAGGATATTTTAAGTCTCTGTTGTACATGCAGAGGGTTTTGAGAAATGCCCCTTTGCCAAAGGAAAAGTTGGGCTGGACTTCTCAGCCCTTTTTGGAACTTAGTTCTTATTTAAGTAGAGAATAAGGGGCTGTGCTGGGAGAGATTCCTGCCTGACCTCCCCCTCATCCAGCTCATATCAGAATTATAGGTTTTAATTAACTTTTCCTGGGAATAGGACTTCCCATGTAACTTCACACGTACCAAGAGTTTGTAGGATCTTTAATGGATGGAAAGACTTCACCTGCTGTAGTGGCATCAGAGGAGTTATGGTGATATAATCACCTCCCATCAGCACCAAAATGATGTTAAAGTGCCCTGATGGGAGGAGTTTCCATGTGTTTGTGGGGGTGGAATTAATTTCCTTTATGGTAATAGTCCCTGAAGTTAATGGGTGCTGAGAGAAAGGAAACAAGATGCAACACAACAAATTTGTCTTTAAAAAAAAAACCAACAAGATTGCATTTGAAAGTCAATGGGCTTTGTTATTAACTCTAAGAACCTTTTCTCCTATCTGGTGCTTTGTTTTCCCAAATCAGGGAGGTCAAACTCGAGTGAAAGGCTTCAGGAGGGATGGAGAGGAAGGATTTCACCACCAGAGCCTTTGGGCTGCAGCTGCTGCCCAAGCCTGGGTTCCTTCCCAGGCTGCAGGAACCAGCCTGGGGTTGCTTGTTCTCCTTATTTTATTTGATTTCTTTCAAGACAGATTTTATTCCAAGGGCTTTTATGCCATAAAGATTCAACAAAAACTTCCAAGAGCTTCTTGGTCAGTGCTGAACTCCACCAGGGTGTGCCAGCTCTGGGGGTTTGGATGAAACATCCAGGCAGCCAATTTTTGGGGGCTGCAGCCCCAAAATATCTCCTGTGCTTATGTTGTCCCCATTCCTGTTAATTTTCAGGACTCCTTCCTTTCCCTGTGCAGCCCCTGGTAGTGCTCCAGCTGCTGACACTGGGCTGTAGCTCCTCTGAATGCTGTGAAAGCAAAAAAAGCATCAAACGTGCCTGGGTTTAAGCAGAAGTTGATCAATTATTAATTGCAAAGGAAACCCCAGCTCGTGCTCAGGGGAGACCCCAGGACAAGATGAGGTGGGGAACCAGATCCCAAGCCCAGCTGGAAATGGATTTTGGGAATATGCAGGTGAATTAAAGGAGGTGTGTGGGCCAGCAGCATCCTGCTGATGCTCACACAGAACATTTAGCATATTAAAAAATTGCCTGAGTGGTAATTACATCCTTAAACTTTCTGGATTTCCTTTGGTTTTACTTTTTTTAGGTTTCTTTTTTAAAATAAAGTTTTAATTAGATCAAAAACCACCAGGCCTGTGAAGATGGTCCCGGGTGGTTTGTGCACAGCAGAGCTGAGGACTTTGGAGTTGTCATGCACAGACATCAGGTGAGAGCTGGCAAAAAGCACTTTGAAAAGGCACAAAGGCACTTAAGGACAGAAACCCCGAGGATGCTCAATAAACAATCACAGGAATGGTGCCTGTGCCGTGAATGTGACTTTGCCATTGTTGCACATTTCTGCTCCTGTTTGTAATGACAATTTGGCCACTCTCTAAATACACAGAAATGGCCTGAATGAATCATCTGGATTATCTGATGTTAGTTTGTGTTTTTGGAGGTTTTTTCTACAGCCTCTTGGTAGACTTTGAAAGAAGAAAAGGGGAAAAAAAATTAAACATATTTCAGAGTAATTGAACTGTGTTCACATTAACTTACACTAAAATTATTTTTAATTAAATGAACTTCCCCTGTTTGTAGCTGGAAGGTACTTGTGTGAGATAAAAACTCCATTCTAATAACGCTGAGACTCACCAGCACTTAATTAGCATCACAACTCAAGGCAGAGGGAGCAGGGAGGTGGATCTGGGTGGGATTTTGGGAAGGGATGCTCAGCCCCCATCCCAGAGCCCACCCAGCGCCTCGAGGAGCACCGGGAGGGGAAATCACACCTAGGATTTGACACAGTTTGTGGCAAAAGCAATTATAATTAACATTATATTAAATATTAAGTCAAGATCATAAAATGTTGATTGGTACTGATTAGCTGCATAATCCATAATTAGAAATCACTGCACCCTTCAGCAGGTACTGTAGTGCCTTGCCTGTGATTTCACTGCTAAATTAAGCGAGAGTGATTCAGCTTTTGCCCTGAGTTTGCTCCTGCATTTCATTTAGGGCAGAAGCACATCCAGGTAAAGAAAGGCACAGGATCTGTTTCCACTCTGTCTGCTCCCAAATCACCCATCCATCTGCTCCCCACCCTTCCCATGCCCATGGAGAGGCCATGGCCAAATTGCCCTTGACCACTCTCAGCTCTGCTTTGGATATCTCTAAAAGATCTAGGGAGAAGCTTTGGAACTGCCTGGGATTTGTTGGAGTCCCCATCCCTGGAGGGGTTCAAAATCCACGAGGATGTGGCTTTTGGGGACATGGGGTAGTGGTGGCCTTGGCAGTGCTGGGGGATGGTTGGTCACAGCGATCTTAGAGGGTTTTCCCAGCCTAAATGGTTCCATGACTGGATGGAATTCTGTCTCCTCTGAAAATTCTTTGGGCATTTGCTCACCCCAAACAGGGACTGCAGAGGGTTGAGCTGAGGCTGTGCCCTCCTGGCTCAAGCCAAAGTGAAGCAGCATTAGGCAGCTACATGATATTGATTTCTTTTTGGCCCAAACTCAAAATACACCTCAGGACACCTCAGCAAGGAGGGAGCAAAAAGAGATTCTTTATTCTGATTTGATTTTAGAAGACCAAACCCATCTGTGCCTCACTCTTTAATGGGGTGGAAACAGGGACCCTGTGGGGAGGTTGGTGGCTCTGGGCTGAGGAGCTGCTGCAAGAATGTGAATTATTCGGGGTGTTTTCAAGGCTTGCTGCAGCAGCCCTGCTTTTCCCTAATTTTATGGGTCCATTTATCCTGGATATCCATTTGCAATGGATAATGTCATCATCACACACTGGGAAACGTTCGAGTTTTGTTGAAGTAAAGAACAAAGTCCCCTAAACCATGAGGTTTTATGTCTTTCCTGCTAATTTCAGTCACTGCCTTGGCTGGAGACCCAGCTGTGATTTTCCACAGTAGAGCTGGATAAAAATAATAAAATTTGGTGGATAAAATCCCAAACCGTTGGAGCTCCAGCAGCCTCCTTGCAGCTGAGCTGATCCAGAGGGACCCTTGGAGGCTGCGCCGGGCAAACCCAGGGCAGCAGAGAGAAAACACATTGTGGCAATTTCCTCTTTTCCAAAGGCACTTTGGAGTCCTAGGGATGAAATCTTTTCATTCCTTCTGCTGTTATCTTTGGCTCTGATTAGCAGTGCCTGGGAGTGGAGCTGAGGTTCTGGGCAGAGCCTCAATCAATTCAATCAATGCGGCCGTGACGCTCCAGCGATTCTCCCTGACCAGGGCTGGGTCTAAAGGAGGGCACGGGGAATCACAGGGAATGTGGGGCAGGAAAGCTGGGCTGAAATCCCTGTTCCCTGGGCTGGCTATCATGGAATGCAGCCCTGGACTGGCTCAGGGAGGCACTTGCACTCATACAATCATTCCCACAACATTTCAATTATTCTCCTTATTGTATTAATGACCATATTTTTATTTAAATATATTTTTAAATATATATAGTATATTTCGATATTATATATTTTAATATGCGTTAATCTATTATATATGTGTGTGTATATATGCACATATATACATTTTTATTTTAAATTAATGAGATGGCACAGACCATATATATATAAAACATGTATTTCTATATAATAGGTATTAATATATATATTGATTTAATGATATGATATGATATGATATGATATGATATGATATAATATAATATAATTAATATAATATAATATAATATAATATAATATAATATAATGTAATATAATACAATATAATGTAATGTAATATAATGTAATATAATTTATTTATTTATTTTGATATATTTATATATATATATATATACACACACATACATTTTTATTTTAAATTAATGAGATAGCACAGACCATCTCCATTTTGAGATCTATTTTTGGCTAGTCCAGGGAATCCTCACCCTGCCTGAGATCCTCGAGCAGCCATGTATCCTAAGAAGATCTTTGTCCCACCACAAAGCATCCAAAGCCCACTGATATTCTTGCAACAACCTGGAGTCACCAGCAAGCACCAGAAAATGCTCCCAAACCTGGTGTGTTCTTTGCTGAAGCACTGAGAGTGTAGGGGTGACCTCTGAGTGAGCAGCTAAATAAATAAATTAAAAAATTTAAGAAGATTCCCATGCCGTGACTATCAAAACCAAGGTATTTCCACTCTTTTGGCATTTTCATTTTAAAAAGTAAATATTGTAAAAAAAAATAAAAGCAGAATGTCCTCTCTCTGTCACCCTGCCCTGGGCAGGAGTGCAGGAGGTGCTGGGCACAGGGTGCTGCATTCCCAGTATAAAACTGGATTTGCATCTCCTGCCTGGGATGTACAGCAAATCCCCCATCCAGCAGACAGCATTTTGGCTTCTGGAATACTGAAAATGTCTCTTTTTCTGCCTGCAGAACCAATGCATTAACTCTGAGAAGGGGCAGCAGAAGGAAAGCCTGGAGCTGGAACATCCTTTGAGCAACAGCAAAGGAAGAGAAAACAAAACCACCCCTCTAAGATGGCTGCAAACAGAAGGTCTCTGCAGCCCCTCCTTAAACACTGAAGATATTTTCATTTAAAATATCTACTTAAAGGCAGGTTTAATCTCAAAACGGCATTTTCCACTTTAAAAAAAAAAATCACATGCACACAAAAAACCCCCACCTTCAAAAATGTCTTCAGTTATTTCTCCTTCAATTTTTTTTTTCCAATTAAATTAATTTAAACAGAGTGAAAAATGCTTTATGCCCTGAGAGCCTGAAACCTCTGGTGTCAGCTGAAACGGGCACTTGTGCTCTCAGCTTCAGCCCTCGCTGCAGGCACCTCTGCTTTGAAGCCTTTGAAGTGTTTGTGGCACAGGAAGAGGCTCTCCTCAGAGAACACCAGTTATTTTACAGATATTTAATGTGTGAAGTGTGTGTGCCTGTGTTTGGGTTCGGATAACGGGGCTTTCACAAGGCAGGTGGGAAAACAGGGATGGGATCCTGACTTGCAGAGCAAAACCGAAGGAAAAACCACTTTGGAGCATCTCTTAAGCTGCTTCCAGCCTTCACCAGCACCGCCCTGAAGATGCGGGTGAAATTATGAAATTATGTGACCTTCAGAGGGACCAAAATATTTTTTTAGTATCTTTAGAACTCACTCAGTCTCCCAGCACCAGGATTTCCCTTAGAGGAAAAGATGCCACCAAAAAAAGCCTGGGGACACCAGGAGCAAGGGGCTGGGGTGCCCATGCCCACAGGGCAGCTGGAACCACTCCTGAGCTTATTCTGGGGCTGTGATGCAAAAGTCTTGCAAAAAATTTGATTAATGGCTGTATTTTTTAGTTAATTAATTAACTCACGTAATGACCTTGCTTGTGATTTGAGAGGTAAAACCTCTGCCTGAATTTCAGGGGGGCTGATGCAAAACCTCCACCTCAACACCCAGCAACACCAATTTTGAGGCTGATTTGTTTAAATTGTTACATTTCCCTTCTTTTTGGGGGGGCAGGGTGCCCAAAGTGTCCCAGAACAAGCCACATTTATTCACTGTGGACTACAATTATTCCAGCTTGCAACCAATGAGGTTTCATTAATATTAAAATTTTAAATCAGCCAGCTCAGCCAATGTTATTTGAGCACTGATGGTCTGTTGAATATCTTCTCTCATGGACTGGTATTTAAATAGAAGAAAATAAAAAAAAAATTCTTATACCTGAAATGGAAAAATAATTATGTTCTATGACTTTGCAGAGTTATTTTTGAGGACACGTAATATATTTTTGCAGAGTCCCTGTTCTAGGAGAGGCTCTTTCTTCTTGGTGTTTGTTACTTCTCTTAATGTAAACACAAGGAAATATTGGGCAATAGATAGGGAGATAATAGATAAGGAATATAGAATAAACCCTCTCTTTTTCAAACGATTTCCCTTCATGCTACTTTATTTTTAATGTTTCCAGCTTTGCTGCAGCTGTCCTTGACTCACCAAGGCCAGGTGAGATATTTTTCCTTCTTTGCAGATTCTGAGGTTTAGAAAGCTTCAGTCTACTTTTCCATAACCAAATGTTTAGTACCTACCTATTGTTTTCCTTTGGTATTTCTTTTTACCAGTAGTCCCACTCTTTAACCCACTGGTTCCTTTGAGTTGAACCAAGGGTTCATCTGATCCACCTGGAAATATCAATTTCCAGGAGATAAGAGTTTCAACTGCCCTCCTGACAATTTTCAAACTAAATACAACGCAAAATCTTGGCTATATCTAGAAAATAGTTGATTTTTATTTTTTTAATTTAAAGAGGAGGAGAGAATAATTGTAGGAAAAAAAAAAAAACAAGATGAGAAGGAAGAGAGAAGATCAGTGAATGTCCAGCATTGATTTAGAAACAGGCTCTGCCAGGCAGGGGGAAAAGCCTTTCCCAATCCATTCCATTTATGGTTATTAGTATTGATATTGTATTTCTCTTGGCTCCCAAAAGGAAAAGTGGGGAATGAATTAGGAAAAAAAACCCACTTTTCTGTAAATAATTTTTCCCAATTCAGATGTGTTTTAGGAAACAAGGGGGGGGAAAAAATCTGCTTCTCAAATGTCAAGGACTTGAAAGACTAAAAATACATCACCGGAATAAATAAATTAACCCAGAAGACAGGACTGATGCTCTGCAGGCATCAGGGATTAAATAAATTCACTAAATTCAAAGTGGTACTGCAGATAAGAGCTCTTTGTGCTGCAGCATGTACAGCTTATTGATTCTGGGATTGAGGTGCTGTGCTCTCTTGTAAAGGGGGCTCTGCCTGATCTGGTGAGTCCTGCCCCAGTGCAGAGCGTGGAGCCCAAGCCCCTCTCCCCATTTGTTTTAATTTGGTCTCTGCCTTCATTTGCTGCTCCACATCTGTGCCTCCCCCCCAGCACTGCCTGGAGGTGCTGAGCCAGCAGGATGGGGCTGCTGCAGGAAAGGGGCCGTGGGCATCTTCCATAGGGATGGAACACCCAGCACTTCTGCTCTCCAGAGGGTTTTGGGGGCACTGAGAGGACAAAGAGTCCTTAAGGGAGCAGCTCCAGTGGGGATCCAGGTTCTGCACACTCACATTTTGTTACGGGAGCCACCAAGGAATGTGCCTGACCAAGGTAAAAATATGACCTCCACAGATAAGATGAGCTTTTCTGGACAAAAAAAGTGGGAAGGCTTGTAATAAATCCCAGAGAGGTTGTTGCACACCCAGCTGGAATGAAGCTGGGCAAGTTCCAATTTACCTGTTTTCCATGGCAGAGGGTGTTTTCACCTCCTTGGTCAGATGCTGAACTGTCAAAGTCTCTTCACACTAACACAGAAGGACATTTAATTCCTCCTTTGGAAGCTCACCTGGTGCTCAGCTCAGGTTTCCTCGACAGGTTGCTCTGAAGGGCCATCAGATCTCTCCAAACACAGAATTTCATCATCTCCCAAGGAAGAGAAAGACCTCCAGGCCTCTGGAGGGGTGAGGAAGCAGCTGGGCAGGGCAGTGATGCTCTCGGGGTGTGCTGGTCCCCTGTTCCATCTCTCCTTGGGTGAGGTGGAGCCAGCACCAGCCCCTTCCCAGCCCTGGGACATCCTTGGGTGTTGGCCTCCAGAATTATGGCAAAAACAGTTGATCTGACCAAGGGGAAAGACCTTCTCAGCCTCAGGGCATCCCTGGGTGCTGGCCTCCAGAATCATGGCAAAAAGACCTGATCTGACCAAGGGGAAACACCTTTATTATTAATTGTTGTCTCTTAGGTATGAGGGAAATGCTCCATGGCATGAAAGAAGTTGACCCAGGGACTTTTGGGTGACCTCCCCAAATCCCTGCATCTCCCTCAGGTTTGGCAAATCTCCCAATATCTTTCACCAAAATCAAGCTCTTAATCTCAAGACACCTCTCCTACGTCAGGCTGCCTCCTGAGCACGATCCACAGGGCCCGTGTTTCAACACCCAGCATTCATTAATATTTCCTGCAGAGTGCTCAGTAAGTAGCAAATAAAGCAGGAAGTGTCCCAGATGTTGGAAAGAAAAAATGGAATTATTCATTGCTTACTAACATCAAATGCTAATGTGAGAAAAGCATCCTTGAAGAAATCCTTGACTAAAATTCATCAGAGTGATGTGAAATCACTGTTTTAATTATGCATTTTGAATGTATTTATTAGTCCCGGTTCTGATCTGACTTACAGATGTTTAGCAGTGATAAGGGTCTGCTGCAGCCTTCGGAATTACTCATGATTTATAATGACAAAACTTGGATCAGAATTAGGTCCTTGTCACTACTCTATAATATCCTTTCATCAAACTTCACATTCAACAGATGAAAGCGAACGTGGTTTCTGCAATTTCCAACTCTACCACTGAGCCCATGAATTCCTTTTTTTAAAATTTCTCCTACAGAAGTGATGACTCTCACAGCAAATTTTGTCTGCTTGAGTTACACTAGCCATGAGAAACTTGAGAGCAAAGGAATTGGAATCTTTAATCCACCAAAATTATGTATCTGGCCTTGTGCTGGCCGTAAACATGGAATTTTAATGAAAGAGTTAATTGCTTTAATTATGCAGCTCTACAATCTCATTCTTTCTTAGTGCTGTGACTATTAGATATATACCAAATATTGAGAGATTTTCCAAATCTTTGGGAAATCCAGGGATTTGATGAGGTTACCCAAAAGCTCAATACCAGACAACAATTGGATGTGCTCAATACCAGATATTTAAAATAAAACACCCTCTGTTCAAGAATGATTCAAAGGCATGTGGTTTATTTCCAAAGAATGATGGAATTTTAAACTATTGCTTGTTCTAGAGCTGATCCAGAAAGAGCAGGTCTCCAGGGATGCTTTACTCCCCAAGGCATGAATGCATGATTAAGCTAAATGTATTCCATAAATGCCTTGATGACATTAAACTAAATTTTTTAAAGAACAGATGGAGAAAGTTAATAAATATTTCATTCTATAATATAAAACTCACTTCTATATTCACAACTTCAGGGATCCTCAGCTTCACAGATATCAATAAGTCTGATGGATTTCTTGCTGCATTCTCATTCTTCTGCCCTGGTGTCTCTTATGGGATCATCATTTCTGCATGCTTGGATTGTTTTATGGGATCAGTGAAAGGCAAGTGACTGTAAATCTTGACCTCTTCTGCTCCTGGATTGTATACTTTTATTCTCTGTGACCATAAGTGTTCATCTCCACATTGAATAGATAATTAAATGACAAAAATTATTCAAAGGGAATTTGTAGTGAGAAATTATACCTTGAAGAACTGATGGGGAACAGAGTTAACCCAAGGAGAATCAGGAAAAAAGAAAACAGTTTAGAATGGCCAAATAAAAGACTAAAATCTCTGTGTTTTTGGGAATGTCATGAAACATCCATTCACTGGGAAAAAAAAAACATTATTTTTTTACCTGCACATCCCAATTCTATTCAAACAAAATTTCTATTAAGGGAAAACAGTGTGGATATTGCTAAAGAACTGTAGCCCAAGCCTGTTATTCATATGAAAGAACTAATCTTTACATGGGGGAATTACAATTCCTCACTCAGTGTATGCCATGAATCTTGTAAAAGAATAATTAGAACTTGCTCCGAAAGGAAAGAAACGCCAGACTTGAATAATATTTTAGGAAGAGCATTAACAAACATTTTTACACTGCCAACAATCTTCAGCGCTTCCTAGCAGAGATTTACATTCCATTATTAATTAACTGCACTGAGTCAATAGTGTGACATAAAGCTCAGGAGATGTGAGCTGAGCACAAACTCTGACATCCACGAGAACGGCGCGGTTTGAGAAGTTTGATTTAAAATTTATGCAAATGAGCTCAGCAAACAAGGACCCAACAAACTACTTCAAAGCACCACGCTCCAGCCCGAAAAAACACGACGAGATCAAATCTTTGTCATTTCTCAAGTGTCTTTACAAACCTCTGCCTATTCAGGACAAATTATTTCACCCCCAGTACCTGGATAGTTTGGTGGAGAATTAGGAGGTGATTGCTCTTCTCAGGGTCACTGCCACATCAGCCTGGATGACTGCAAGAATTTAAATGTGCTTAAATGTTATATAATTTGTCATTTTAGATCTGACTCTTGTAGGTGTCCATAGAATACAACAAGGTCCCAGCTGAGCTGCCTGATAGGGCTGACAAAACAAAGGCAAAAAAATAGCAATTCTATTGTCCCCTCTCCCATTCCTCCAGCTCCCACCATCATTCAGTTTTTGGGTTGAGAAACTTCCCTAAACTTTGTCCAGGGAAAATATTAAATTCAGAGTAATGACAAAAACTATTCAAAACAAATTTATAGTGAGAAATTGGCATGTGAAGAACTGATGGGGCACTGGCACAGCCCAAGGTGATACCACAATATCATGCTATTGTCCCTCCTTTCCCCTCAACCAGGATCACCTCTCAGTTTTTGGGTTGGGAATCTCCACAAAACTGCATCCAGGGAAAATATTAAATGCAGAGTAAAGCATTGCTGTAAAGAAATACTAATTAATTCATGTTATGTTTCAAGCCACAAAAGTTAGTTTATTCCCTTATTGAAGGTTAGGTTAGGTCCAGGTACATTTGTATCTTCAGAATCAGGGCTTTTAAGAAAGAAAAAAGTTTCTCATGTTTCCCGACATCCCATTAAAATGGTTGTCCTTTGACGTCAATTAGAGCTGGCCAAGGGAAAAAAATCATCCTTAATTGCTTTTTAGAAATAGACATTATTGCTTGCACCATCACAGCCAGATTCGATTTCCTTTTACAAGAAACCAGGATGCTGGGAATGCTGTAAAACTCCAGCTCTGCTGAATATGGATGTGGAGCTCTGCTGACAGAGAGCTGCTTTCCCTTGGGCTGTGGAAAAAACTGGTGCAAACCCCACCAACGTGCTGAAATATCTCCAAAGTGGATAAAAAGGCTGGAGCTGGATCTCAGCTGGGGCTGGTTTGGGATGGGCAGTGGTCGGAGCCAGGCTGGGAGGGCTGGGGGTGCTCACCTGGAGAAGAGAAAGCTCCAGGGAAACCTTCCAGGGCCTAAAGGGGCTCCAGGAGAGCTGGAGAGGCACTTGGGACAAGGGATGAAGGGACAGGACACAGGGAATGGCTCCCACTGCCAGAGGGCAGGGATGGATGGATATTGGGAAGGAATTCCTGGCTGTTAGGGTGGGGAGGCCCTGGCAGAGGGTGTCCAGAGAAGCTGTGGCTGTCCCATCTCTGAAAGCGTCCAAGGCCAGGTTGGTGGGGCTTGGAGCAACGTGGGATAGAGGAAGGTGTCCCTGTCCATGGCAGGGGGTGGAACAGGATGGGTTTTAAGGTCCCTTCCAACCCAAACCACTGTGGGATTCTGTGGATGCTCAGTGCTCCATCCCTGCCTCCCCATGAGAGTGAGCGTAACCTATCCCCACAATCAGAGCTACAAAAACGATCAAACCCTCAAAACTTGGGTGTGTTTCTTTACCAGGAGCATCACCAAATTTTCTCAAAACCTTTTCCACACTTGTCTTACTGCAGGGAATCCATAATGTCTCTGCCCACCAGGAAGAAGAGGAGTCCAGAGAGGAGCGCCAGGGGCACCCCGGCGGCGGCGAACATGAAGGACCAGCCGTAGTAGACGTGCACGGGGACACCATCCAGGCACCTCTCGCTCCTCTCCAGGAGGATGTACCTCTGGAAGTCCGCTGCAAACTCCTTCCACATCACAAAGAGAAACACGAGCAGGAGAAACAAACCTCCTGAGGAGAGAGAAAACGGAGTTATTGTGTGTGCAGGGAATACAGGAATAAAGGTGAGAAAAGATTGCTGCAGGTTCTCATCCATGCTCGGCATCAAAGCTTTGTGTGGCAGAATTTCTGCTCCTGACGTTGCTCTGCAGGTTCCTGTGGGAGCTGAGGCCACTGGCCATGGACAGCCCCACACCAGAGTGACCAGTTCCTGCCTCTGACACCTCCTGCTTTGGCCACCAGCTCTTCTGAAGGCTCTGCTTTAGCAGGATAAGGCTATGGAGAAATGACCCAAGCAGGGCTGATGTTGCCAGCAGGGAGCTGCCTTCCTCTCTCCAAGGTGGGATGTTTCACCTTTTTCCTTTTTAATTTCTCAGAGATTAATGAGGAGACACCAAAACCTACTTCTTCCTTTTCTGTATCTACCTTTGCAAGCAGTGTCATAGCCAATCCCTACCAGGAACACAAAGATGCCACACTAAATCCTGCTGGTGGAAAAATTCTGACACTGACACCCCCAGAGCCAGCAGAGCCAGCACATTATGGGGTGGGAAAGGCACACAGCCATGAGATATTAATCTTAGGTGGGCTACTAAATACCAGAATAATAACAAGAATTATTACAGTAGCTTATGCCACGAAGCTGGAAGCAGATGACAAAAATTAGAGTGGCCCAAATCTCATTTACTGTGTATCTTGAAAAAATATATATTTCTATGGTGCGTTTTAAACTCAACATCTATTAAAGCTAAATAGTGATGGTGTGTTGACAGGTCTGAAAGCAGTTCAGAAATATCTGATCTTGCTACTTCACAGGTAGAAGCTGCTATTTTTAAATGGTGCTGTATAACATATACACACACACACATATGAAAGAAATACATCACAGCTTATATTATTTTTATGGTTGAAGTGAACTGCTCGAAATTAATTTAGTTGACAAGTTACCACACAGTTCTGTGGATGTGTTGTGGCTTCTGCAAGATTTAATTTCTCCCCTTGCCATTTTTAAATCAAAGGTAGTTGTGGTGTATTTAATTATTCTTTCTGGCAGCTTATGCACTCCAAAATCCAGCTCTTGTGCTAAGGAAAGGAAAGGGGTAAAGATTGATGTTGATTTATCTGCTTAGGGAGGTTACTGAATCTTCAGTCAGAGAAAACACGTCTGTGTTTTACTGTGATTCTGTTTATAATGGTTATAAAAACATCTCAGAGACACAAATAAGACTCACATGAAGGTAAGAGGCTTCAAAGTCCCCACTAGGAGGGAGATAGAAGTTGCAGTTCCTCACTCTAAGCTGTCACATTTACTAAACTGCCTCCCATGCCCTAAAAAGATGCAATCTTACCAATCAAAAATTGGTGCAGCCATAAAAATATTCTTTACATCACCCCACACTGAAATTCCAGCCATTCTCCCTGACGTGGAGGAGTCCTTGTTTTTCCTGGAGAGGCAGGCAAGGAGTTAAACAGCAGCTGCTGGAACATTTGCATGTTCATTGAGGTTTTGATACCACTTGAAATTAAGTGCACAAATAAATATTTTACACTTACCATGATAGTTGTATGCTTAAAATACCAATTATTCTACTATAAGAAAGCGATGGTGTGTTCAAATAGTCGCATGTCCTTTACAAAATACAATGTATTGATAAGAAGGCAATTAAGTCTTTATTACTGATGTAATTTAAAATTAAATTAATTAGATAGCAACTGAACCTTGAAAAGTGCTCCTTTAAAGATCAATTTCTATTTCATTAACTTATAATACCTACCGTAAGAGACGCAAATGAAAGCGCAGCCCCGGTGGGATGGAGGACGTGGGTATGGAAATGTACTTTGGAATTCTGCTTTAAATAACCAGGAATTCTGTGCTGATTTCTCCCAGGACAATTTATATGGCCTAAGTCTCGTTTTTTGAAGTAATCAGATCAAAACCTTTCAGTTCACACTGAGGAGGGTGTGGCAAGTCCCATGTGTGGGTGGCGCCATCCCCAACCTCTTCGGGAGATAAGGAATGGGAATTGGTCCCTCCTCTGGCCTCAGGAGAAGCTCCAGGTCTTGGCTTTATTATGGAAGGATTTATTATTAAACAGGTACTGAAGGTGATGGCATGGCCATGGCATCTAAATTAAGAATGTTTTCACACTCTGGGCAAATGACAAGATTATGTAGAGCAAGCAGCCTTCTTCCCTGGAATAATTACAGCTGAGTGATGAAGAATCCCTGGGATTTACACAATGTCCTCAGCGGGAAGAGAAAATCAGAAGGACAGGTGCAGGAAAATGATGGTGGGAGCTCAGGAAAGCCAGCTCACCAAAATCTGCTCAGCCAGAAATGCTTGTTTGGAACATCAGGTACATCACAAATGTACCTGAACCTGTCTAAAATTTGTCACACTTACACTGATCAGCAGCCTCTTCATCATGAGAAAATCATAATGTTTCACTCCTATGTTACCAAAGTGTTTGGCATTTTTGTTTTAAAATGCTGTTGTTTTTGGGATTTTTCATCTGTTGAAGAGGTTTCACTTTACTCCCACCTTTCTGGGGCTTTTGGACACAGCAGAAATCATCTTTGTTTCCTGACAGCTTTGGATGTAGAGACAGATTCCTTCCTGCTTTGGGCAGCAAAACGAAGAACTGAAAAAATGTAATTTTCTGTCTGAAACAGGACACTGGCATTGGCACCGACACCCGAGACACAGGGTGTGTATTGGATTTGGGTAAGTGAAGACCTCACCAAACCTCATCCCCTGTGCTTTCTCCACCAGAAAATTACCCGAGTGATTCCTCTCCTTGCCTCCTTCTCCTTCTTTTCCTCTGTTCATCAGGGTGGTACTGGGAAAAATTAACTGCGAAACTCCATCTCCAGACTGATGAGGTCAATGGCATCTTCTGGGGAGGGGCTAATTGCCAGAAAATTGCAGTGGGGCATTAAATCTGTCTCCTTTGTGCACTGCAGATCTGGGAGCCTGGAGCTCCATCCCCCTCTCCCAATGGAGCCGCTGTGTCTTCTGTGTGGGCAAATTGAAGTGGAGCTTTTCCTTTCTCTCACTTTATTTCCTTGTGACACCTTTATAGCTGCTAATTGTGGGGACAGGTGAGTGAACTCAATCTTTAACTCTTATTCTGGGGAAGCTACTGAATTTTTGTGTAATCTGCTAATTAGGAGAATAATGAACTTTGACTCGTTCTCTCTCCCGCTCGTTGCCTCTTAGGGATGTTAATAACAGCGAAATGGAGGGGTGACCTTCAGCTGCCCTTCCATAACTGTCAGCCTTCCCTGCACGTGGGGAGCCTGAGACTGCCAAAGTGGAGCTGCTCCATTTGGGAAGCAGAATCTGAGCAAAAAAATCCAGCCCTTTAACTCACAGGAGTGGGAAATCTGCCTTTTTTTCCATGCTGTTGGGTCGTGCTGAAGAACAGGTTGGTCCCACCATGGGCAGGGATGTGTCCCATCATCCCAGGGTGCTCCAAACTCCATCCAACCTGGCCTGGAACACTTCCAGGGATGGGGCCTTCACAGCCTCTCTGGGCAACCTGTGCCAGTGCTGCACTTCTAAGTTTGGTCTCTAAAATACCCAAAGGAAAAGAAAACTGAGGAGCACAAGGCAGGAAAAAATGAAGGACCAAAAAGTAGGAAAGTTGTCTCAGCAACTCAAAGAGCTTCCAGAAGCTGCAGCACAGAGCTCACCCAGCCCTCCTGGTGACATTGTAGTGACAATTAACCAACCTCAGGCTACTGAAACAAAGGGACAATCAGGCACCAGGCAGGATCTGCACCCCTTGGAAGCACTGAAGCTCATTCCAAGATGGCAAAAGCTGGGAGGAAAGCACACACAGGCTACACTGACACTTGCCTCGTGTATTCCAAGTGCTTTTGGGAGAAGGCTGGCATGGAAAACTGCTCAGAAAATGGCCTCAGCTGCAAAGGCAGCACCAGCAAATGTCAGATTGGTATTAGGTCTTTCCAGAGCCACCCAGGGGAGGAAATCCAGAGAAATGGCTCCAATGCTTTGGAAGGGCTCTCAGAAACACCTTCCAGAGCAATCCATTGTTTATTGGAGCTGGCACAGTCAGGTTTGCCCTCTGGAATGTACAGTAAATAAAAGGCATCCCAGGGGGAAATCCAAAGGGATCCAGTTGAGCCATAACAATCCTCACCCTTAGGCGCTGGATGGGACAGATGGACACACCACCCTCCTCAGGATGGTCATCCATAAATGTCTGGGAATGCATTTGCACCTGTGGTGTCTTTAGAGCCTTTTGGTGAGAAAAGTGACGTCATTTTGCAAGGAATAACCACGACTTCTCCCAAAAGCAGGGAGCTGGTGGGCAGAACAAAGCTGCTGGTGAAGGGTTCCCTGCCAGGCTGGGACATCCCGCAGTCCTGGTGCTCCATCTCCCATTCCTGCTGCCAGACCACATTCCCACTCTGCAGATTGCCAGCTTTTTCACACTTCCTCAAGGAGAGATCCTTTCTGCAGGGGAGGTTAATTAACACTGACCCGCAGGCCATGATGAGAAGACAAGAGGAGCTTTCTCCTGCATCATCCCTGCACATCCCAAAGGAAAGGGATGGGTTGGGGACTCGAGCCTCTGTTAAATCCATTGTTCCTACTGCTCAGTGCAATTATGCTAAATATTTTTAGAAGGGATAACGAGAAAATAACCATGGAGGGATGCAACACAAATCCATCCAGAAGCCAGGGCCAAGCAGGATCCAGAGGTCTGAGATCAGGATAAGCCCCCCGAATAAAAGGATCAGTTGAAACACTAAGGAAACTTTGCTGAAAAACACATTGAATCCTTCTGCTATCATTTGAGTGGAAAATATAGCAGGAAGTGTCTTCCAGCTGAACTCATTCTCCTGAACGACTGTTAATAACAATGATTGCTGTTCAGATTGAAGCTGCATTAATACAAACTTCAATTTTAACACCAGCATCTTTGTGTAATGCCAAGAGGTTTATGTGATGCATAATCAGCTCTTCCAAAAAGTGTCACATTCGGAGCCCCAGCCTTTTAATCAAGGAGTAGTCAAATAAAGTGGAAAAGCAATGAAGAAAAAGGAAAAGGAAAAAAAAAAAAAGGAAGACAGTTGAGTATTACTCGGCATCCTTTTCTGTGATATTTCTGCCCAATGTGCAGGCTGGACACACTCCTCAGGGACATCTGCTGTTCCTGGGAGCCTGGACTGCAGATGGGAAGGGAAAGCTTCCTGCCCTGGTACAGCCCTTGGATTTTTATCCAATATGCAATCACAACAACCCCATGGAAAACTACAGCCTTGGGAATCTGTTTGTGGAAAAGGCCCAGGGGGTGCCAACAGCTGGACATGAGCCCAGGGTTCCCAGGTGGGCAGGAGGCCAGTGGCACCTGGCTTGGGTCAGGAATGGTGTCCAGGGGATCAGGGCAGTGCTGTCCCCTGTGCTGGCACTGCTGGGGCACCTCCAGTGCTGGGGCAGCTCGGGGACATTGAGGGGCTGGAGAGAGTCCAGGGCAGGGAACGGAGCTGGGAAGGGAATGGAGCCCCAGGAGGGGCTGAGGGAGCTGGGGAGGGAATGGAGCCCCAGAGGGGCTGAGGGAGCTGGGAAGGGAATGGAGCCCCAGGAGGGGCTGAGGGGGCTGGGAAGGGAATGGAGCCCCAGGAGGGGCTGAGGGAGCTGGGAAGGGGCTCAGCCTGGAGAAAAGGAGGCTCAGGAGGGACCTTGTGGCTCTGCACAGCTCCTGACAGGAGGGGACAGCCAGGGTCGGGCTGTGCTCCCAAGGAACAGGGGCAGGAGGAGAGGGAACGGCCTCAGGCTGGGCCAGGGGAGGCTCAAGTTGGAGATCAGCAGGAATTTCTCCAAGGAAAGCATTGTCCACCTCTCTCACAGGTTGCCCAGGGCAGGGATAGAATGACCATCCTTGGAGGAATTTAAAAGTTGTGTAGATGTGGCAGCTGGAGACATGGATCAATGTCAGAACCTTTCTTAAATATTTTCACTAATGTTTATTGTGGGGCAGCAGGAGCTGGTGAAGGATCTGCAATTAAGCAGTGGTTTTTCAGAGAAAGACCTGATTCTATTACAAAGTTCTTCACTTGGCTCAGTTCAACTGAGCTCCAGCCTGTGGCTGCTTGAGTCATAAAAGAGCTTTTTTCTGAGTTTGAGTCACTGGTATAAATCAAGTATTTCTAATATTGAAGCCAGTTATAACTCTCAAATACAGAAAAGGAAAAAGCCCAAGTGATAATTCAGTGGAATCATTGGTAACAGCAGTGGGAAAATTGAATAAATGCCTATTTTTAATTCATTTTCCTGCAGTGCCATCGTTTCATCTTTTCAGGTTTCCTTAAGCCAGCCCTCCCATTTTGGATCATGGGGTTTGCCTTTCATCCCTCCATGGGTTTCCAGCTCTATCAAAGCTAACAGCAGAGGAGCAGCCCAAATGCAAAGCCTGACTTTGGGGAACTGAGCGGGGCTGATGCTGCCCTGACTTAACACATCTGCAGGCTTTGCTGAAATGAAAGGGTTGCATACAGGAGTAGTAAAAACAAAGTGATTTTCAAAAATCTCAGCCCTGCTAGAACTAAGGACTATCCTGCTAAAGCCTGGCTGAGCACAGAATGATGGGATCACAGAATGGTGTGGGTTGGAAGGGGACCATAAAGGAGGTCATAAGGACCATAAAGGCCACAGACAGGGACACATAAAGGCCCATAAAGGGACACCTTCCCCTGGAGCAGGTTTCTCAGAGCTCCCAGGGGTTTAAATCCAGAGGGGAAGAGGGAAATAATCATTTGCTGCTCCCATCAGAGCCCCATCTCCCACGGCAGCGCTCCATCCCCGCCTGCCCCCATTCCACAGCCACCCTGCCCCTGCCCTGTCCCTCACCTGAGAGCAGCAGAAATCCTCCCCCAACTTTGTAGGAGTGGGGGCTGGAGAAGGGAACCCCACAGACCAGCAGGAGCCCCCCCACGAGCCCAGCAGCCACGGCCAGCAGGATGAACGCCGTCCAAAATCCTCTGTACACTGCAACAGGAGCAAGGTCGGTCAGAAAGGAGAGGGAAAGAGGGGAATTACAACCTCAGAAATATTTTTTACTTAATGATGCCATGTTTAACTCCTGCTTTGGCAACAGTAAAAACAACAACAACAAAAAACCCAACGTTGCTGTGTCAGGCAAAGCTGAGGCTCCAGCCTTGCCAGGGCACCTGGAACAGCCACGGGTTCAGGGGGAATGTAATGCCCCACAAAAGGGGACTGGAATGAGGCCAAAGGGTTGGGAGGGTTTGCCAGGGAGGCACACAAATAAAAAGGGTGGGAGGAAAGGACATTGCTCTTAGCTGTCCTGGGGCAGGTTGGAAAAGCTTGGCAAGAAAGGAAAGAAAATAGCAAAATTTGGAGAGGTGGATTCAGACCACAGCTTTGTTCCACTTTTAATTAACACTTCGGGAAGGTGCCAGGCTCCTGGTTTAAAATAAAAGCAGTGTTTGCTAGCAGGAGTGCAGGGAAAACAGGAGCTCATGAGTTCCCCCATTAATGGCCTTGTTAGGCTCTGGGAAAGAGAAGGGGCAGGAGAGCAGTTGCCTGTCCAGCCAAGGAATTTGGGGCTAAGACTTCATACAACACCCCAGGCAGAGCTGAGCAAGCTTGGTCCATCACATCCCACCAGCTGGAACAGGATGGGATGTAGCTCACTCATTCAAGTCTCCAGTAGCCGAGTGTCTTGCAGACACTGCCATAAACCTTATCCAAAGGGAGTGGTCCTCCAGCAGAGACCCCCTGATACCCTGCTCCCCATCCCCTGATCTATCTGATCCCTTGGAACACCCCATCTCACCCTGCCAGTTGTTTTCCAGAAGCTCCAGCTCAATTTAAGCCGAGCACAGGCAAGTGGGTAGTGCTGAAACGATTCACACTTGAAAGAAAAATGATACAGAGAAGATGCGTTTTCCTCATTTGAAACCATTTTGTCAGGAGAGCCACTTAGGGAGAGATAAGTATCTTGAACTCTCCAAAACCACAGAATTCATTTTCATGTTTAACCTCCCGTCACCCGTTTCTCTCAGGGAGCCTAAGAGGATGCAGATAAGGCAGAATTATCTCTGGAGCAGGTAATAGCTGCAGGACCCCTCTCCTTGGGCAGCCTCCTGCTTTGTCAGCCCTGGCAAATGAGGAAGGGCTGGTTGGAAAGAAAAGGTGTCAGTGGCAGGGTGTTATCCCAGGGAATTGCAGAGGATTGGGGCCCAGTGTTACCCCTGCTCCCCCAGGGAATTGCAGAGGATTGGGGCAGGAAGGAGCCCAGTGCTCTGAGAACTCAGCGCATCCCTCCGGGTGTCCAGAGTTGCCAGGACCCCACAAGGGGGCTCAGAGACCCTGGCATGCTGCCCAGAGCACCTGGGGATTTGATTTTGACCCCTGGAGCAAAGTACCAGCTTTGTATGAGGACCTGAAAGTCGCACAGGTTTGAATGGTGTAGTAATAAAATTATCACAGGGTGAAAATGTAGATTTTAGGATTTTTGGTATGGGGGTTATGGGGGCAAGATGGAGGAATTTGGGTGTGTCTAGCCTTTCTTCTTGTTGTTCTCCATTTTCTGCTGTGATACTGGCACTTTGGGATTGGTTTAGAGTAGAGGTGCACTGTCTAACATAGGTGATAGGTATTGGGAATTAAGAGTAAATATGATATATGTAGTTTGTAGTATAAAAGGACAACACAGGGAGTGCCTGTGGCTGCCCTGCTGAGCAGATCTCAGCTGGGCATAAAGAAAATTTTATAGATAAGAATTAATAAACAACCTCAAGACCGAAGAGTGAAGAGTCCAGACTCGTTCTTCAGCTGCATAGGCCGAAGCAGAGACATCCTGCACATCTCAGGTCAGCAATTAACAACAGAAACCTGAGAGTGCTCCAGCCCCCTGAGCCACCCCAGGCCCCCGAGGTGATGGGGACAGGCAGAGCCCCGGGTGCAGCCCCCACATCCTGGCACAGCCACGGAACCACTGGGGTGGGAAAAGAGCCCTGAGAATGCCGAGATGGCCCCGGGACTGTCCCAGGGGACACATCCGGGAGGGTTCCACAGCCGGGGCTGACAGGCAGGGACAGGTGCCTCCAGCGCCCTTTATTAGGATGGAAAAAGCAGTGTGTGTGTGTACGTGTGTGTGTGTGTTTATCAGCAGGATCATTCAGAACTGGGACGCTGTGCCCGTCTCTCCCCAGCAGAAACAATCCCACTGCTCATCCCGCACCAGCTCCTCCTCCTCCTCCCTCCACATCTCCTCCATCTCCATTCCACACCCCAGGGCAGGAATTCTGCACAGCCAAAGAAATGAGCTGCCCTTCCTCACATGCTCCTACTGACAATATTTTTTTTTTAATTAATTTCTCATAGAGAAGAAAAAAAAATAAAATAAAACTAAAAAAAGGTACTACTAAAGGCTAAGGAAAAGGTCAAGATGTTTGTTTGTGCAGAATGCCTGCCCTGCATCCCCGGAGGCAAGGCAGACTGATGCACACTATTTAAAGAAATCAATTCATTTCAAAAAAGATCATTGAATTAATTCTAACTGCTGCCACCAATTTAGCAAATTAAAATTCCTAACAGCAACTGATTCATTAAAGAACTTGGAAAATATAGAGAAACATAAATAAAAAGGGACCCGGTTGAAAGGAAGCTCTCCAACTGTGTAGTGTTCATTGCTTTAAAAATAAGCCAGTCACTTATGTGGATTTTCTAACAATTTGGTTTTTAACCAATTTTCCAGTGCTTGTTTATTTTGTCTTGCAAAAATCAACACCTGAGCTACCCCAGAAAACCAATTCTGGATGGAGTCAGCACTCAGGCTGGGTTTGGGTGGTTAGGCTCCATCTCTTCCCAATGAGAGAGGAGATGGGAGAGAATGGATTTATCCTCCTGGAGGAGCTGAGACCATTGGGAGGGAGCTCAGCCCATCCCAGCCCTCCAGGCTGGAGGAGAAAACGTGGGAGAACCTCTCAAGGTGGGCTGGGGCAGCCAAGCCAACAGGACTGGTAGTGAAGGAGCTTTCCAGAGGTCTTGGCTGTGTGAATTTACAACAGGAAAACCACAGCACTGACACACATCCCAAATGTCTGCCTGATCCCTTGGAAAAGGAGCTGCTGGGGAGAAGGAAAGAAACTCACCTGCAGTTGTGTCATAGGAGGGATGGGGGAAAGGTCCCACAGCAATGGGCATGGGGAAGAGGTAGCCATGCATGCAGAACTTGGGGTGGGCTTGGCTGGCTGGAAAAGATAAAGAAAAAGAAGAATTAAATCCCAGTTTGCTTTTATTTCCTGCAGAATCAGTTACAGTACTGACATGGTGATGTGCTGTCGTGCAAAACCCTCAGTGAAATCAGAAGGTTGGGGAGGAAAAAAATATAATAAATCTTGGTTAGAGAGAAAAAATAAAAATAGAAATAATAATTATGAAAGAGGGGAGATATCAGAGAATCTGAGACTACTTCTTGCACATCTTCTCATCTTCATAACCCGACTCTGAGGTGGACAAAATCATGAAAGATGGAACAACTGAAGTCAGTGTCAATATCCTTGCTGCTGTTTTCCTCTAGAGAATGTGCCTGACCACCTGGAAGGGTCAAAATGTTTGGGTACCAGAACAAGGCACTTCCAAGACCTCCAGCTGGTGAGAAGGAAAAGCACAATTAGAATGGAAGTGCCCCATCAATATTAATACCACTGAGGCTTATCATGATTAACAGTAATAGAATGAATGTTAAATGAATTAATTAATGGTTGGCCACTTATTTAAATATGTTCCCCAGCTCAAAGGAGCACTTTATAATAGGTGGACATTAGTTCATGCTAAATTGACTATGGAATACCTATTGAATTAATTATTACATCCACAAGACCAGCAAATTAATTTGCCATGATCAATCCTATTATAATAAATACCTAAAGAAGTAGCAAAAAATTTGCCAGTTATCAGAGTGACTCATTTTACTTCAGGTAAAATTATATTATGTATTTCCATATAATGTAATTCAGTAGCAAACTCCCTGTCCCAAGTCTGTCCTTTTTTACCACAAATTTCCTGTGTGAAAAACCTCCCATTGTTGAGTGGTGGCGGGAAGTATTCCTGCAAGATTTTACAGGAAACAGGTCAGGGGCTGGGGGACAGCGAAGTCATTTGAAATTTTAATCACTGCAGAGTAAATTTAGTGTAGGAACCTGCACCGTTTGCAGGGAAGTGCCCTCTGAGGGGATTGTGCTGCTCCACAAGCTCAGGAACATCTTCCGTCGAGGCCTCAGTGGGCACAGGGCCAAGGTTTGTGTGGTGTTTGAAGCCTTTGCAGAATTTATTTAAAATCTGGGGTGGTTTTATCACAAATCCTACGGTAGAGTTGTGGTTCCCAGCAGGGCTGGTGCCAGGTGTGTCCTGGTGTGGTCTCATTCCTTTCCTGTTCCTGGTGGGAGCACCTGGTTCACTGGGCCAGCCCTTCACTGCACGAGGGACACCAGGGTGGCACCAACCAGGGTCCCTTCCTTCAATTTGTTTTTTAAGAGTGAATGTATTTCCAAAAAAATAAAGGATTTTGCATCCCTCTCTGTTTATTCTCGAGTGTAATTTCAATGATCTTAAACAGTAAAAGAGGTGAGAACTTAAAATAAAATGGCTTTCCACCACTGGTCCTGGCACCCAGGGACACCACGAACGTTCAGTTCCAGCCTTCCCAGTGCTGAAACCAGTGGGAGCTGGGAATGCTGAGCACCTGGAAGGCAGAAAACAGGGACAGAAGAGCAATGCCAGGAAGGGCATGGGCTCACATTTACAGAACTTTGCTGAACACAAACATCAAGAGGTATTGGGAGGGAGGGGGAGGAAGGATCTGCGTCTCCTTGCTGGTGGAAGCCACCACTTCACATAACCTTGTAGGTGATCAATTAAATGGCCTCATGAGGTTGCAACACTTCAGTGAACAACCCTCTGAGAGCAAAATCCAAGTCAAAAAATGAGCATAGAAAGGGCACAAAAAGAGTGAGCCAGCTTTGCTTTCGACAGAAGATGAGAATGACAAAAATGAAATAAAAATGTCTCCTCATCCCTGGGAGCTCTTCCTGCGTTTGTTTCCCATAAAGCAGTGATGGAATGCTGTGGATAGGGAGTATGGCATTGTACTCACTGTACCAGAAGGTCCAGATGCTCTCGGGGTGGCCCTCACCAAAGAACCAGCACCGCCAGAAGAAACCCTCGTGGTGGAAAGTGAGGATCTCATTCCCAGCCTCTGTTGGAGTTTCAGCCTGGGGAGGAATGAAAGTCCAGGCTGAATCAGGGAACATCATGTTACAAGGGGTGTCAACTTGGCTTAGACAGACATTGATTTAATTTTTTATGGGGTTTTCTTTTGTTTTTTGAGTCAGTTTTGGAGGGATTGGGGAACACAGAGGAGCTGCTGTCTTTGACTTTCTGCTGTGTCACAGCTACAAAATGTTCTGAAAACAAATCATCCTGCAGCCCTGCACAAACCTGCAGCCCTGCCTCCTTTTCTCCTATTGTTAAACCCCTGCTGGATGGGAATTTCAGGGAGCTGGGCCTCCTGAGTGTGTTCTACTCCACAAACACCTTCCTCCAACCTCCAGACCAGACCTGCCAGCGCAAGATTTTGGTCTTTCTTGAAGGGACAATATTGCAAAGTCCAGCCATAGAAGATTTACCAAAGAACTTATTAAAATTATCCTCAAAACCAGCTTTATCTTCCCCACAGACAGTTTGGTAAAGGAGACAAGACTGTGACAAAATTAAGTTTTATGACAGATGGGGAATGTCCATAGAGGAATGGTGACAGAAAGGAGAAGGGAATCAGCAGGGAGTGCTAGAGGTACTTATTCTGTCACAGGTTAATAGGTTTGAGTGGGAGGGACCTTAAAGCCCATCCAGTGCCACCCCTGCCATGGGCAAGGACACCTTTCACTATCCCACACTGCTCCAGCCCTGTCCAGCCTGGCCTTGATCACATCCAGGGGCAGCCACAGCTGCTCTGGGCACCCTGTGCCAGGGCCTCACAGGGAAGAATTCCTCCCCAGTATCCCTCTGGCAGTGGGAGCCATTCCCTGTGTCCTGTTCCCTCCATCCCTTGTCCTCAGTCCCTCTCCAGCTCTCCTGGAGCCCCTTTAGGCCCTGGAAGGGGCTCTGGGGTCTCCCTAGAGATCTGCTTCCCTCTCCTCGATGTTTTATGTACCACATTATAGCAGCTCCTGACCTGATTCTCCTTTTACTTTCAGGATAAAACCCTGACTATGACAAGGGAAACATTCAGCCCTGAAACCTCCTCAGCTGGTGGCTCTGACTTGGTGCATCCACATTTCACTGAGCGTGCCAGATACTCAGCCCATCCTTATCTGTAAGGGACAGGATTTGACAGTTTAAGAAAGGGCAGAGAAGGTAAAAACAGAGCCTGTTATCCACAACCAGTAACAGAAATAATAGAAACAGTCTCTGAAATAGAAATAAAATAGCTCAGAGGGAAGAGTAAGAGCAGTTCCTATTTGTGCCTGGTGCTTTTGAAGTCACTGCCTCAGCGTCAGGCTCCCCAACACTTGGCCAAGAGCATCTCTGAAATGTTTGAGATGCTTATTTGTGTCGTGCAGTGCATCACCTCTGCTCTCTCCACTTTTAAAAACAACTAAAATGTGAAACAATTAACACTGTCACTTCCCAAGTACACAAAAAACAAGCAGCACTTCTCTGTCTCTGCCATCCCCAGGCTTTACTGAGCTGCTTGAAACTAAAGACCTTGTTTTCTGTTTCACTTCTCCAGGCATTTTTCCATCATAAGTTTTTTTTTTATTTTTTTTAGTTAGGAAAGTCATTTGGAACCATGACTCAAGCAAACAGTGCCCTACATTTGATTATGGGATTCTGAAATGAAAGAAAAAATATTTCTTGCTGGCATCATGATGCCTACCCAGGGTGACTCACTGCACCAGGAAAAAAAATCAAACCTAATTGGATTGAACTTTGAAGTAACAAAAAGTCTGCACACAACGAGGATCTTCCTGTCATTCTGTAATGGAAACCACACATTGATTGGCACAAAAACATTTCGGGGGAGTGGGTGGCTCGAGGAACTGATCTGGTTGTTATTTCATTGAAGAGTTAGACAACAGCAAGTGCAGCAAGAATCCAACTTGAGGGATCTATAAACGAGCGACACCAGCCCTTAGCACTAAAATATCAAGCTGTCCCTTGAAAATTACATTTCCTGCTAACTAAAATCCTATATAAACCTTACTTTGAGGATATCCAGGCCACTGGTCGGATGGGCAGGAACCCGTCTGCTCTGCTCTGTGTCTGATGTTCTCTTTAGTTTGGTGTCTGTGCTGCAGCTGTGCCACTTCAGATGGAAGTGACTGCCAAGGCCCACACTTTTAAATGTGAACTAGTTTTAAATGAAAAAACTACAGAGGGAGAAATCTTCTAATGGCAAATATCAGGAGATATCTTTTGTCTTTATAGGGAAATGCTGTCAACAGCTAAAGCTCTTACATTTTTGCCTTTCATTCTCTAATGTTCGTACCTGCCAGATTACAGAGATCTCTTAATGCTTCCTAGACACAATTTACTCCAGTCAAAACGCTCAATATTATGGAAAAGCCGTGTTGGATTTTAAAGAATTTAAAGTTTTACCTCAGGCTGATGTTTTACATTAACAGGTCACTTTCATCGAGCATAAGCATTATCAGAGATTTCAAAATTTTAAGATCTGCAATCATTTAGGCAAGTTCTTTCAAAGCACAAGGATTCAGAGCTCACCCCGCCGGTGCTCAGAGTGCTGTTCCCATGCTCGAGGAGCCCGCAGGTGTCGGTGGCCAGGAGCCAATAATCCGTGCCAAAGGCGATGAGGAAGAGCAGCACCCCGGTGCCCCCGAGGATCCCGGCTGCCAGGGCAGCTGCTCCGGCCTTCATGGGGCAGCAGGGGGGAAACCAGCCCAGGGGAACTCAGAAAAGGAGGAAAAGCCCCGAGTTTCCCAGGGATCTGGGAGAGCAGGGCCAGGGAAATGCTATTTTTGGGTGTGGGTAATGATCTCCTGGCTGGTGTGGGTTTCAGTGGGTGGTGGGGCAGGACTAATAAAAGCAGATGACCTGGTGTGAGCGAGCAGCTGTGGCATTAAGGATCATGACAAGCAGCTACAGAGCCATCCAAGGGGACGCACGGCTGCTGCTGCAGGAGGAGCAGAGCCAGGAGCCTCAGGACACAGCTCTGGGTCACGAGTGCAGAATTCCTGGGGCACCAGGGAGTTACTCCCATCCCTCCCTGCACACCCGAGCAGAGGTGGGCTCAAAGGTCTCCCCCACACCCTGGAGCCCGTGGTGTCCTCAGCCACTGTGGTGACACCCCACAAATGGCACTTCTGGGATTTGCATCTCCTCCGTCCTCTGAGCAAAACTCTGCTGTGGCTTTTACAGAAAGTAACTGCAGGGATGCAAGAAAAACATGAAAACACTGGGAGATCTCAAATATACCAGTGCTCCTGGGAGGGTGCAATCACCACCTTAGCACCAGGCAGGTCCACACAGAGCTGGACAAGGAGCATCCAGCCAGGTGCACACACGGACACACCAGGGATGTCCTGTAAATGATGTTCTCCCTCCTGCCATGAAAAAGTGAATTATGTGGGTCCATACCCCTCCCACCCACCCAGTGTCTCCTGGGAGCAAGGACATTCCTGCATGGAATTTCACTGCCATTTGCTTCCCAAAGTTTTTGGCTTTTGCTGGAGCATCTGCTGTAGATCACTGCCAGGAATGGGATGCCAGACTAGGAAAATTATAATTTCTGTAGGGCAATAACGATATTCCTGTGGCATGCCAGGAGGTTGGGAGAAGAAATTTAAATTACAGTCAAAAATCAAGTTCTGATTTTCTGACCTTAGCCTTAGTCATGACCTGTTCTAAACATGGGGGTGATGATGTTGACTTCCCTATCCTATGGGAATTTGTGCTACCAAATTAATTTCCAAATCAATTTAGTATTTAAAATTACCTGTGAACATATGGGTTTCTCAAAGCAACTGCACACTGGTTGGGGAACCTGGAGAGGGTTGGGAAAAATTTTGACTACACTTCTTATTGAGGCATACAGAGTGATGAATGTTCTCAGTCTTCTGTTGTGCTTCTATAAGCAGAACAGAATTTGAATTATAATAATTTATTTTATCCTCTGCATTGTCTTTCTTAAACATTGCAGGGGTAGCTGTTAAATAACACATCAGACCTCTCTCCCTCACTGTCCTGGGGCAGAGCTGCACCTGGTTTAACCTGACCATGTGAGGAATTCCACAGGATCCAGAGCAATCCCTTCACTGACACAGGGAAAAGGAGAGCAGGGACAGGGTGCAGATTTACCATCATGCAGGGTCAAACTCAGCCACAGAGCTGGGATTCTGCAGGAATAAACACACCCTGTCCATCCCATTGCCCTGCCATGCCACTGGAAACACTCCCAGCTCTGCCAGGGATTTCCAGGTAGGTTCTTGTGATCAACCCTCCCTAAACCACCATTCATCCCATTCCTACACAAATTACCCCTTCCCACTTCATCCCAGCATATTCACTCTTTTCCCATAGTTTTGAACACACCCATCTCCCAGTCACTGGTGCTTCACTGCTCTCTTTGTAGTGAACATAAAATGGCTGATTAAATACAAAATACAACTTATCTGTCACCTAAATAATCAATTAGTGCAGTTCCAATCAGCCATTTAATCACCTGTCTGAAGTAACAATGACAATTGGTTGCCATCTCCTCTTGTGATCTCCTCCTCAAAGCTGGGCACGACTGACAGGAGCTTTGGCAATGCCCAGAGCTGGATGAAAACAAGGATTTGCACACCAGGAGTGAGGAATTTTTTTGTAGCTCACACTGCAATTACATAAAATTAAAATGCAAAGTGGGCACTTGTGTATTTTTGGTTTAAAAAAGGGATCAATGCACACTTCCACATTTCTGGGTGTGTTTTGAGCCAGCTGTATTTGGCACTGCTGTTTTTGTGCCACTGCACATCCCGAGTTAGTGCTGTTTGCCATTTGGAAGTGTCCTCTGGAATTCTGGGTCCCACTGGCAGCCAAACCTGCGTGGCTGAGGCAGAACATTGCTGGTGCCCAGCCTTGGCTCTCCACAGGACGCCCTGTGCCCAGCCAAACATCCTCCAGGTTCTGAGGCTGTGAACAGCAATTGAGTTCCCAAGGTTGAAATGTCTCTCCACGCACCGAAATCCCACTCCTGGCAGGTGTTTCTTCTCAAAGACAGGCTGGACAGGGATTGCAGCCACCTGGTCCAGTGGAAGGTGTCCTTGTCCATGGCAGGGTTTGGAACTGGATCATCTTTAAGGTCCCTTCCAACCCAAACCATCCTGTGACTCCAGGATGAATCTGTGACTCCTTGTCACAGCCCCAAGCACATCCTCATCACCTTCAGGATCCAAAATATTTCTGGGCAATGAGACCATGTGGTGTCTCCACAGCCTGTAGAAAGTGGGAATGATGATGTTTGTCCTTTGGAACCCATGTTGGGATTTTGGGAAAGCCACACCAAAGCCAGGCAGGTGAATTCACCACCCAGCACCACATTCCATGCAAAGGCAGACACAAATACCATTTAACTCCCAAGGAAAACAGCCCTTCCTTTCTTCCCTTCTCTCTCCTGGTGCCAGAAGGGACCTTGCCTTCAGCATCCTTTTATCCACAGGTCAAATAATGGTGCCAACCATGGGCAGCTCCAGGACTTCAGTGGTTGAAAAGGAAACTTGTATCCTGAACATTTTATTAATTCCTAATTGACCCCAAAGATTTTTTTTTTGTTTTCCATTAAGCTTTTAAACCAAAATTGTGACTCTCCAAATATATATATATTCCAGCAAGAAGCTGGGGCAAGTCAGCTCAGATTTTTCACAGAATTCGGTGTTTTACCTTTGAATTGATCAAAGACACCATCAGCACAGTCTGTGTTGTTATTTCCTGTAGTTTGATCCGTGCTCACAGAAAAATTTACATTTTATGTAGATAGATCAAGATATTTTCAGTCTCTCATGCAGAAAGCAGAGGATTTCTTGGAATTTGAAAAAGAGATGAGTTTCCAGGGCTGCCTTTGGAGATTTCACAGAGTCCCTTTGGAGATCTTCAGACCTTTCCTCATTGGAGCTTGGCTTGATGATCCTGGGTGGTGAAATCCTGGAATAGATGGTTCAGGGCAGGGGGGAGTCCCCATTCCTGGGGGGATTTAAAAGCTCTGTGAATGTGGCACTTGGAAACACAGGTCAGCAGTGGGGGAATGGTCAGGCTCCATGGTTTTAAAGGGCTTTTCCAAAATAAATGATTCCATGGTTCTATGATCTGCCCTGCTCCAAAAGCATCCCATGTAGTGTTTCCTTAGGTAGGTCAGTGAATCTCTCTCAAGTCTCTTCTTTTACTCTTTTCTCCCCAAACCTCTGAACAACAAGACACCAAGCACAGCAAAGCCAACCAAACCACAACAAGAGCACCCCAGCACTGCCAACTTTACCTTGGAACAGCCACCAACGTCCCCAATGGTTTCACAAAGAGCATTCCCCCAGGCTGAGCTGTGCTGGAAGGGAGAGCAATGATACCCATGCTGACATTTGCCCCTTTAATTCTGCATTAAAATGATAATCTCCAGTTCATCTCCATCACATGCTCCTTTTTCATCTCTCCCGTCTCCACGTCTCTTGGAAGAAGCACATAAGCCTGGATGTTGAAAGATCCTTAATGGTGCTTCTGAGGCTGAATCCCCTCCAGGACTTGATGTCAGTAGAGAAAAAAGCTCAAATTTGCCTCACCTGCTTCTCAAGAGCTGCCAGCCCTTTCCAGGATTAAGTCATTATAATCTCCTTAAGCAGTCATGAAATAAAATAAACACAAGTGGGGTTTTCTGCTCAAAATAAAAATACTAAAGTTCACATGAGGAAATGCTTTTGGAGTTGTGAGTACAGGGGAGATTTTGCCTGATTTTCAAATGCAGCTGACTGATGTCTCTGCAAAGAGTTTTCTGATGTGGTTCTTGGGCTCTTGCTTTACCATCGAGCTACTCCCCCTCATTAACAACTTTTGCCCATTTTAACCTGAACTTTCCACAGACTCGTGTAAACTTCCAGAGTAGGCACAGAGCAAAAACTCTCTGAACTCCTAAAGGAATCAAACTGATGCAATTTATTTCCACAGAACCATGCAATATTCAATGATACACTGAATCCGTGTTTTTAACACTTTTTAAAGGACTAAAACCCTGGAAAGAATTAATTAGGCATGCTCTGAAGCCTGAGCACTTAACAGTTTTCCACTCGGTTGTAGAATTTTAAGACCACCAACACTGGATACTGGCAAAGATTATGAAAGGTATTCTGGGCTGAAATACAAACTAGTCAGAGGGCTTGGCCACTGAGTGACTGGAAAATACTTCATGAAAGCTTTAGCCAGGCTATTATATTTTGTAAAGAAATTTTAAGAAAAAATCCGCAGTATCCAGAAGGTTAAATTTAGGGCAGAGTGACTCACTGGGAAAAAATGTCCTGCTGGGAATATTGTCTTTGCAGATCAAGCAAATGGTTCATGCAGCAGAGAGGTACTGAAGGACCCAGCACTCCAAGTGGGGCAGGAAGGGAATGATGGGCTGGGATCCATGAAGGATCTCGTGCCTGACCATGGGAATGTGGAGCTGGAAGGGAACGATGGGCTGGGATCCATGAAGGATCCCATGCCTGAGCATGGGAATGCTGGGCTGGGGTGGAGCAGCCTCTGCACACCTGGAGCCAGAAACCTCTGGAAGTGCCAGGAGCTGGGAGATGTTGGCATGGAAATGTCCCTCGTGCTGATTTGAGATGAAAATGTACCATTTTAAAAAAAATTGCAAAGAATATATTTTTTTACCTTTCTTTTTCCACATCAGAAAAAATTTCCTTTCAATTTCCTGGCATTTTTCCAACCACTTCTGTTGCCTACAGCAGTATTGCAAAGAAATCTACCCCTGCCAAAACAACCACCATTAAATAAGGTCCTTGATAACCCACAATGATATTGCAAAGAACTGATGGGAGTTTCAGCTGGAAAAAGTTCCTTATTTAAGTGCCTGATACCCAGAAAAATGATGCATGCTGCACAAAGATGACAAGGATGGATGCAAGACAAAGATGGTACAGACACCCAGGTATTTCAAAAATAACACAGGTCAGATGCAAAAGCATAAAACCAAAATAAAAGAGCCAAAAAAACCCAAGCAAGAATCAGTCACTCACAGTTTCTATCCTTGATTAAAAATTCCTAGACAAGCAAACTGGTTTAATTTCCTTTTTGGTCACCCTTTACGGAATAAAAACAACTCACCTTAGTAAACCCTCCTATGACTATTTACCATGCAGAATTTAAGGAGAAATTTAAAACACTGAGGACAAAACTGGAGGTGAACAGGGACATTCCAGCCCCAGAGAGCTGAGGACCTTCAGGTTCAGTATTTTTTTCTCTCTCCCTTGCATGCAATGGCTTTCACCAATGAACAACACCACCAATTTTATTTCCTTGTTACAATTGCTTTCCTCACTCGTGATCTTGGGATCACTGGCCAAGGGTCGAAGGAGCTGCTGGTCCAAGAGGATTGGCCTGGAGTGACACCCAGAGACACCCCTGAGTGTCCCCAGCAGCACGTTGAAGATGCAAGGAGAGAATAACTCAAATTATCCCATAACACAGCGAGTTTAATTGAAAGAGAAATGTAGAACACTACAGCATATTCATAAATGTCTGAGATTGAATCATATATTACAACATACTCAAAAATGGGCTGTTTTCTAAACCAAGTGCAGCCAAACCCACATGGCTCCCATGCACATGGATTTAACTAGGAAACAAACCAAAATTGTAATAAATGGAAGATGACAATGAGCCTATATTAAAGTCCATGCATATGTACATGTATGTATATACACCTGTAAAACACATCTATTGGCAAAAGCTCAAATTTTCCTTTGCAATGAAATTAATTTACAGTGATGGAGTGACCTTCAAGTGAATATGAACCACCTCAGCTTATGCCAGGACACCATAAGGGTTTTTTTTCAGAAAAAATAAGATATTGGATTATTGCAAAGCAAATTTGCACAAATTTGTGCCTTGAATTTAAAAGGAAAGCCCCAATGTACCATGCAGGGGTCTCCTAAGGGAGTATTTCTGCACACAAGGAGTCTGGTTCTGCAAGGCCAAAAATATCATGGTGAGGAGTCTGTGAATTCCTACAGTTTCTTTCAATGCTGTTTCAAAAAGAGCCACTTGTTCAGATTAAACACTCTTGGATCAGAGGAAGGAGAAGAAAAAGAAAAATGTCAATGCAAAACTGAAACTTGTCCTGTCAGGTTCAGGAAGGACAAGAATTCAAAGGCTTGAACTTACCTGGAGTTTCAAAGAAAATTACCCAAATCGGGGGCTGCCTGTCTTCCTCAGGTCCTATCCCCAGAGTTTTCCTGCACCTGCTGTGCAAAGGGCTCACACCTTTCCTGGGAGAAGCCACCAGGGTTTGGGTCACCCTCTTGGCACTCTCAAACCCCTCTAAACCCACAGCTCCCAGCTATGGCAGCACAGATCATCCCAAAATATCTTTACAGGATTAATGCCACCAACCAACCACGTCAGAAACCTTTTCCCATCTATTTAAGGGCTGTCCCCCTCATCTCCTGCTATCACCACTGGGTTTGGAGCCTCCTCATTTTAACTTTGAGGTGAATCATTCCTTACATAAATTTTCAAAAACCAGAAAGAACACATTTCTCCCTTTTAATTCAGCTGCAAAAATTTTTCATGAGCAGAATTGTGGCTGGGTGTGGGACAATCCCTCAGGTAAGACACAGCCCCTTACTGAACCATGTCATTTGACTTTGGACTTCATGAGATTAATGTTTACACTCAGGGTCCATCAATTCCTGAGGAGAAGTAGAAATCTGTTGCTGTTTCTGTTCTTTCCTCCACCCCTAATAAAACCTTCTTTGAGATTATCAAGTTTTTCCCAGCCTATAATCCAAATGCTCCCTGCTGTTTAGCCTACCCCTGAAAACTAATGAGAAGATCCCATATCTCACCTTATTAAAACATCCTTCCTTGCAGTAGTAGGCAGTTTCAGAAATTTTCCTTACTTGCAGTAGTAGGCAGTTTCAGAAATTTTCCCAGACTGAACAGGCTAATTTTTCCTACAAATTCCTTAGAAATGTTCCCTGGCATTGCTGGGCATCTTTTTCCTCAGTTCCCACAGAAAACCCAACACTGGGCAATAAGAGTGACTTTCCATGCAAACCACTCTGGATATTCCACCCTGTCCACGCTGTCCTTTCCAACGTGCATCTTATTTACATTATCTACACATCCAGCAGCCCTCCCTGAAGGAGTCAGAGCCCTCCTGGGGAGCCAGAGCATCCCTTGTGTTTGTACACCTCCAGAGTCAGCTCCTTCAGCCCCATGCCGGGCTGGCGCGGTGGGATGGCACACACGGACTTGGACCGGCTCTCCTTCCCCTCCCGGACCTTCTCCGTGTTCCCCACTGTGGGAAGAGAAACAGCACAAGAAACACCACGAGAAACACCCCAAGAAACACCCCAAGAAACACCCTTCTTTGTGGTTCAGCAGGAATGAAGGACACCGAGCTGGCCACATGCTCTTTGGGGATGAGCTGTTCCACTCACTTCCCAGTTATAAAACAGGAGAAAAGAACAATGTTTCTATGGAAGGAAAAGCCAAAAAAAGGTGATTTAAACCCAGGTTTACGCTTCAAAATACATAAAGTATTTGGATCAGTATCGTCATTCTTTTGTCAGTCCGCAACTGCAGCTTTGCAGAGCAAAAATTCACCTGGCTGAGCTCCTTAAAGCAGCTCTGGACAACACAGGTGTCCTGCTGGAGCATCTGGAATGTCCTGTTGTCACATTATGGGATTGCTTGACAGGGATGAACATGCAACCATGACAGAAGGGTTACAATCTCCTTCTGTTCTGACACCACTGTATGTCAGGGGCCATGGTGCTCATGTTTTCCTTGGGGCGTAAAAAAAAAAACTACCCAGAAATAATGGGTTTTATCACTTTTCTCTGCTTACAGTCATGGTTTTCTTCAGGAAGAACATTACTGAAGTATACCCAGTAAACTGTGGATTAAAACAGCCACATCCCAAGTTGGATGAGGCAACCTGACATAGTTGGAGAAGTCCCTGTTTGTGGCAGAGGTGTTGGATTAGATGGCTTTGAAAGAGCCCAAACCATTCACACCAACCTCAGGTGGGCTGACAGGCGGCACCAGAGCTCTTTCAGCTCTTCTTGCTCACCCAGGAGGCTCATTTCAGGAGCCCAAATTTGTCCCACAACCTCCCTGTCACCTGCTGGGCCATTCCACAGGGATGAGGGAGGGCAGGGAATGAGCCCCAGCTCCCCAGCTTACCGGTGAGGGAGCGGCAGAGCTTGGGCTGTGGGCTGGGCTCGCCCTGCGCCGAGCACGAGTCCTCCTTCTGTGACTGAGGGAGAGAAAGACTTCAGTGCCCTGTGAAACCAGCCCACAACACTCCTGCCTCATAAACCTGCAATCCCTAAGGATTCCACTCTCTTGCGGTTCACTTTTGCCACGTAAAAATCAAAAACAACAACAAAAAAAAAGGGTTGCTAAAAATAGGCTGAAGAGATGGCAGGAAGTATTTGCAGATGGTGATTTGCCACAACATAAAATCATGGAATGGCCTGGATTGAAAGGGCCTTAAAGATCATCCCATTTCCTCTGCTGTGGGTGGGGACACCTCTCACAGGACCAAGCTGCTCCATCCAAACTGGCCTAAAACCCTTCCAGGGATGGGGCATTCACAGCTCCCCTGAACAACACTGCAAGCTCTTTATGGAGCATCAAGAATTTAGAAATAAAACCGAGCCAGTGTCAGAGGCTTAAAGAATTAAAATGGCACAATACAGCAATTATGTTTTGAGTTCTGGAAGAGGTCTGAGCTCCCCAGGAATGGTTCAGCTGAGGATGGGAAGCCCTGGAGCTGAGAGAATGGGGCAGGGAGTGCAGAAGGCAAAGCTGTCCCCAGGATATGGATGTTTCTCACCTTGGCTGTTCCCCACGCTGGCTGCAGGCCAAGGAGGCAGGTAACGAGCTGGCACTAACGAGCTCCCTGTCCTTTCACTCCAGTGCTAATCTCCACCCTCCAGGACAAAAAAATCGGAATGAAAAAAAAATAAAAATCAGGTAGCACAATGCCGCCTGGATTGTTCGGCGCCTCTGCAAACTGGGAATAAGTCTCTCACACAGCTGCGATTTGGCACCTCGGTCCAGAAACCCAGACTGCCAAAATAACTCTGGACACCTCCCAGCCTGGTTTTCTGTTTTGTTTCGGTTCGTTCTCCTCCCTCCCCTAACGAGGACCGCTGCCCTGCATCCCTTGTTCTCCCTTTTATTGACCATTTTAATAACAATGCCTTCGCGGCTCCGGCAGCTCCCTGGAAAGCCATTCCCAGGGGCATTGAGCTGTTCTCAGAGCATGCTCCATGAAAGGGCTCTGACATAATTACCAAAGGCACTCTGTCATTTACGCACATGGCTCACAGGCAGCTCCAAATAAGCTCCTTCTGGGGGAGTGCACTCCTGTTTTGGCAGCAGAAAAGAGGACCAAGTTGCCTGGCTACAGGTGCAAGGATTTTCTGGGTGCTCCGTGGTAAATAAAAGCTGTCCTGGGTCTCAGAATCTGTCCTGCCAGCTCAGGCTGGGCTGGATCCCTGCCTAAAATAAGGCCAGCCCCAAAAGCAGCCGGTGCTGGAAGCCAGCAATGATGCACAGCTCCAGGAAGCAGCAGCCTTCGGCAGGAATTTTGTCCTTAGGCAGAGGAAGGAGAACTTTCTGCTGGAAATAGATAGTCTTGGAGTTAATCCTCTGGGCTGTGGTTCAGAGCTGAAGTCACCTCGTTCTCCTGCCAAGGTCCTTCTGCCTGGTGTAAATCATTTAACCTGCTCTGGAGGAAGGAAGATTGTTCTTTTCTTGCTGCTTCTCCCTGTTTGCTCTCCAAAGTCTCCTTGGAGGAGGCTCCAAGAGCCCCCTCTCCATGCTGTAAAAGCCCCTGAAGTGAAGCCACCAACCCAAACAGGGATGTTCTCCCACACACCCCTGATTTTGTTTGGGGGAGAAAAAAACCAACCAGCCCCTAATAAAATATGATAAATAAAATATTTAACTGAGCTACAAGAGCTTCATATTTAACAGCAAAGCTCTCAGCACCTTCACTAAACAAGAAAAACAGCGTTTTCAAACACCCAACAGAAAAAACCAAACAGAAAAAACCAAACAGAAAAAACTGGGTTTCTACTGAAGCAAATTTTTAAAATTATTCCCTCATCTCCTAATGCTCAAGGTCCCACCAAAGCTTTTTTTCCAAGACTGGCAGTGGAATTGCAGGAGTTTCACCAGCACCACAGGGGTTCCAGCGGCCCTTTGCTGGAAGTTTATTCCCCGTCTCTGGATTTCCAGCTGGGGTTACAAACACAGTTGTAATGCTTCCATCTCGTGGTGAGATGTAGAACAGAAAAACCTGGGGAGCAACAGCATCCAAATTTTTCTTGCTGACTCAAAACCTGAAAGGCCAAACCCTTCCCTGTGGGACTACAAAAGATGGAATATCTAACAATCAGAAAAATCTCTAACACTATGGATATTTTTCATGAATAGCTTTTTTTGATCAGGAAAATATAATTTTCTTTTCAATTTGGCATGGAAGAAACATGAGTAGCTGCTTTTTTCCCAAAAACTGGTAAGTATTGAGCTGCTTATAATAGGCTAAAATCTACTTTTTAGCACAGTGTTCCTTCTTTCTGGTGACAAATTCTGCAATCTGTCCTCCTACAGCACAAAGTAACAGCATTCACCCACCCTCCTTAATATTATATAATATTATATATATATAAAATTAATATGGTGTTAATATTTCAGGGCTCTATTAGAGCATTATCCCATCACTTTTGGGCATCATTTTATTTCTTTTCACAATAAATGAGGCAGCTATTCTTAAAAATTAGCTGGAAAGCTGCTGGTGACACAAAACAGGCCTGGCTTGTCCTTTTGGGCACTGAGGGATGGTTCTTGGGTTAGAATCACCCTTACAGGTGTCACTGGGATCAGCTCCTGGTATTTGTTACCATCTCCAGGTTGGACAGGACATCCTCATCTAGTGGAAGGTGTCTCTGCCCATGGCAGGGGGTGGAACTGGATGGTCTTTAAGGTTTCTCCCAGCCCAAACCATTCTGGGATTTACATCTGCTTCCCTTGGCCAGGCACAAAGCCAAGGTGGCTGCAGTGAAGAGCTGTGAGCAGCACCAACAAGCAGCTCCAGTGACACAACAGTCAGTATTCAGCATCAAATTGGCATTTCCCATAATCCACAGGGCATTTCCTACCCTCAGAGGGCATTTTCCATCATCCACGAGTCAGCACAGACACAGAGTGAATCCTACTGCTTTTGCAATTCCCCAAAAACCATTCTGTTCCCCCAAAGCCCAGCTGCAAGCACTCAAAGGAACAGGAGGAACAGCTTTCCCAAAGCTCCTGGATTTCCCATCAAATGCAGCAGAGAAGGGGAAAGCAGGAGCACAAGGGTTAACAATCAAATATCCTTAAAGGAGGGAACGTCGTGCTCAAAATCAGCCGGAGTTTGATGTTGCTCTTTTGAAGTTTAATTATACCAAATGTTCTACAGGAACATGCCATGTTCTTGCCTATCTATTCTGAATTGTAAGTACCAATCAGCATGTAAATGATCAAATTAAATCTTTTAAGTTGTTTGCAAGAGCCAGAACACCTTTCTGGGGAGGAAAGGCTGAGCACCAGCAGCGTTTGGTGCAGTGCTGCTGCTCTCGGTGGGCTCCTCCATGATTGGCATTTCCACAAAGAAACTGGAATGGAAAAAAGTCCACAGCACTCCTGAGTTCTTGTGCTGTCATGGAAAATTACTATCTAAATAGGGAAGGGTGATTTGTTTCTTTTTAAAAGGTCATTTTGTTCTCATCAGTGATGGAGCTTGGCTGCTCAGATTAGCGATCACAGCTCACACTTGGACAGTGCTCCAGCTCAAGCCATCAAAACCTAAAATTGTGAGAAGTGAGTGAAATTTAGGGATGGCTCAGCAATTACTGCAAGCACCAGCCCTGCCAGAGCTCAAAGAGTGTTTGGACAACACTTTCAGGCACAGGGTAGGATTTCTTGGTGCTGTCCTGTGCAGGGCCAGGAGCTGGCTCAGTGATCCTCATGGATCCCTTCCAATTCTCAATGTTCTGTGGTTCTGCACTGCTGCTGACCTGGGCATTTGGGAGCAAAAGATGATAAGGGTTAAATGTTTTTCCTCTAAAGAGTTACAGAGGATGGGAGAAACTGAAAAAACCAAGCCTGCTCCTCATGCATCATTCCTGCAAACCTTTCTTTTCCATAGCTAAATGCTGGCCCAGCTTCTCTCGCCAATCTCCAAAAAGCAGAAGTCTTCACCAGGCACAGACATTGTATTAACCCTGTTTCTCCTCTGATTCAGAACATAAACCAACACAGAGCTATGCAAGCAGAATATTGGAAAAAATTTCATTTCTCACAGGAATCTGGTAAGCAAAACTTCCTTCTATTTTACTTCTTTCAAGCCTGCTCAGAACTGTAGATGTGTTTAAAAACAAAGAACTCACCCCCAGAATGCACAAGAAAGATCACAAAATGCTTCTGTCCTTTCAAAAGAGTTGAGCTGGGGGGGAAAACATTGAGCAGTTTCAAATATTTACACTCTGGACCACTGACAATGGGGGAGACAAATTCCTGTGTTCGATGAAATCTCCCAGAAAAGAAAACACGGGAAAACCAGACCTCAGGATCGACAGAATGAAGCCCAGTCAGTGACATTTGTTAATAGTAAAAGTAAAGAGCTTTCCTAGCACGGGTGGAAGTCACAAAGCACTGAACAGGGCTGTGCTTGGGATGGCTCCTTGCTTTGCCAGGAGCTGGGTTTGGGGCAGTTTTTCCCTTGGTATTTTTCCTATTCAATGGAATACGATTTGGGATTGAGAGCCTTTTTTAAGTTAAAATAGCAAGATTTGTCTTTCAAAGGAAATAGCATCAGCAGTGAGCAGGCTGTGGGGAAAGCAGCCTGTGCTGTTGAGAGTGTAGCTAAGAATTGGAAAAGTACAAGGCCGTGGCTAATTCCAAGTCCTGCACCTGCAAGATAGCGTGTCCTTGGGCCTAGCTGTAGTATGATAACAAAGAGTGAAAGAGACATGAGAAAAGAGAGATGCAACCCCTAAAGAATAGAGAAGAGCTGATGTTGTGGTGTGGCCAATAGACAGTGTAAATTACACAATATTCATGAGCTTATTACTTGCTGTATAAGTGTCTGATGCTCTCTTCAATAAACAAAGCTTGCTGATCTCATATTGAGCATCTCAAGTTTTCCCCTGCACCCTACAAATGACTCATTCTGCAACACTGGGCTCCCTCTCACCTCCTTCCTGGAGCTGCTGCAGGTGTCGCTCCCGCCCAGCTCCACCAGCAGGTTCTTGTGCCGCAGGATCAGGAGCTCCTTGGCGCGCTCCGCGGGCTCGCTGTCCCCGGGCAGGGTGTGCCTGTTGTACGCCGGGCCCTGCGGGTGACACAGGGGCTGCTGGACACGGGGACATCGCTGCCATCCTGCAGGAGCCTCCTGCCCTGCAGCCATCCCAGCCAGCTGTGCATGCACTGGTGTGGGAGAGGTGGGGATGGATCAGACACAGAAGGGAGATGGGACTCGGTAGGAGCGTCGTGGGGTAGGACAGTCAGGACGGACAGAGACGAGAGATCTCTGGAGCCAGGTCATGGAACTTGGGTTGATTGCAAAGGGTCTGGGTGCAGGGGCCCTGCTGGGATTTGGGGTTGATTGCAAAGGGCCTGGGTGCAGGGCCCTGCTGGGAGCTGTCAGCCACAGCTCGGAGCAGGCCCGAGAGAAGAGAGGGGCAGAGAGGATGAGAGGGTGAGAGAGTCAAAGGGAAAGAGAGTAAAACGGGGTAAGAGAGCCAGGTTCCCATTACAATACAATAAATCTTCTTCTGTGTTGAATATTCTGATTCTCACTAACCAATCTAGTACAAGATACAAATCCTATAGCATTTACATACAGCCTATAAGAATCATTACATTACCATACTGTGTTACATTTTAAACCCTAAAAACTCCTCTTTGGGTCCCTTCTGCCAAGTGTAGGGTCTGCTCGGATCCTTGCACCTGTCTGCAAGAAGAGGGTCTTGTTCCATCAAAAGGGGATTACCTTCAGCCAGCTACACCATTGTTTTCCAGTTGTTTAGTAACTGAGGTATCTCAAAGCTTGCTTTCATTTCAATCTCGCTTATAGTTTCTATATTCTCAAAATCTTTTGCCAGATAATCATATTTATAAGGCTTTCCTGTTTCATCTTCTCCAACAGGACTCCAAACCTCTTTTTTTTTTTTAGCTGAAATCACCCAAGAAATCCCTGAATGACAAGACTGAGTTACACCTGGCATCTAGGTGTCCACAGTGACTCAGCCCGAGGTGCCTTCACAGCTTCAGCCCCCAATGTTTTGTATTAACCTCACCTTCCATATAAATCATTGGGAATCAATCAATTCAAAAGCCACCACCCAGCTAAGTTGAAATATCCCACTAGCACCAGTGGGAGCTGGGATAATGCTGTCTCTACAAGGGGTTAGGCTGGATTAATGCAGGACTAAGCTCAAACTGGAGCTGTGCCTTCATCTTCATCCCTCCACCATGTCCATAGGTTTCTTCCCAGCCTTATCCCATTGTTTCCCTCAGCTCAGCAAAGGGACAGGAGGGGGATCAGGACAGGCTGATCCCTCTGTGCTGAGCTGCCCATACCAGCCCCACCCTTGAGAACTCTGCATTTTGTGTGCAATCCATGAAACAAAGGCTTAGGTGGATTTTAAGGCTAAGTCTCCCTAGGAACAGCAATTCCAGGTGCTATGTGAAATTCCAGACATGATCCATGACTCTGTAAAAGCAAGCGGGGTTTATGCCCTTTAACCATTGCCACCAGTTCCATGACAAAACTGCTGGGTGGACTTATAAACTCTGCAGATTAATTCCTACTCACAGCTTTCTTCCATGGGGAAAAATGTACCGTGAGGATCACCCCATCCCTGCTCTGCCCTAGAGCTGCTGCTGGATGTGCTAACCCAGTGCCTGAAGTTCCACATGCTCCTCCTTTCTCCTTTTCCCTGCCGGGTACCGATGCCGAAAATATTCCATGAAATTATAGGCTGACTGGGTGAACCTTTCAAAAGCTGTCAGGCAGCAAACAGAAATGTGCCACTGACTTGGAAACTGGATCTGGCTCCACACAGCCAACTATTCTCTCCTCACAAAGAGACATCCTGGGTAATTATGGAAATATTCATAACATCTGCTCAGGCTGTTCAGATAACCGAGGAAATTTGTGTCATTGGACACTTAAAATATGGATGGAGGGAGAAGTTGTACCGTCCTCCTGATCCGGTACAGGTTCCTGGCCAATATTTCCTGCATGTTGTCCAGGACATCAGGATTTGGAGTGTCCTCCAGTTTTTGGTCTGTTATGACAGTCCTGTCGCTGCTGCTGCAAAGGAAAGCAGAACATCTTATTTTTGAAGTGTATCCCCAAATCTCAGTGCCCCTTTGGGATCCCACCACAGCCAATGTGGCCAGTAGCTCATCTCTGCAGATGGAGCTCATGGCAAAGCAGGAATTTGGCACTTGCATCAGAGCTGGGCTGTCCATATGCTCCCTGGTGGATAAAAGAGCCACGGGGAGCTGTGGCAGAGCAGAACCATCTGTGAGGTCTGAAGTGGCCATTCAGAACATTTAACAGTGCAAACCCATCCAAAACTGGGCAGAAGCCTGTTCCTCAGAGCACCACTTATCCCTGTAACTCGTGGGGATACAGGCGGCCCTCCACGTGCCACCACCAGCGTCGGGTGCTGCTCACCCACCCCATCATTTTTAGCCCCAGCTGCTGGGTTGGGGGTGGTGTTTGCTCACAGGAAGGAGGGGTGGGCCAGGCCGTGGCCCAGCTGCCCAGCCTGGGCCAGCTCCATGGCGTGCTTGCGCTCCAGCTTCTCGTAGAGCAGCACGATGCTGGACTTGGGCTGGTCGTACTCCCTGAGCAGGATCTTCTGCAGGTATTTGCTGTTGAAATACTCCAGCCTGTTGGAGAACAAAATGAGATGGGTTTGGCCTCTCCCCTGGCTCCCCAGCACCAACAGACCTGAGCAAGGCAGCAGGGTCACAGCCCACGAGTGCCCCATATTCCATTAAATTCCATTATATCCCATTAACAACTCCTCAGAAATCGATGGTCCAAGAGGTCAGTCCCTAATTATTTCTGCATTACAGTACATGAGTCAAAATATTAAAACTTCACTAATTAAAATGAAAACTCCCCAAAAGTACCAGATATATCATGAACTCTTCTAGAAGTGCTACATCTGCAGTAGCCACAGATGTCAACACTTCCAGATTCCCTCTTGAGCCATTTCCTCTTCTTTTCTGCTCAAATTGTTGAATAATTTAGGTTGGAAAAGACCTCTGAGATCATCAATCTCTCTAAGATCTGCTCACAAGGAGTTAGGATGCTTCTCAGCAGCAGTGTCTCCCATACCCTCTAGTGGCACTTCCAAGCATGGGCATTCCTTAAAAATCTCTTCCAGCTGCATCTGTGTCAGGACCACCAAGGAATTAAACCTGGTAGATAGTCTTTTTTGTATATTTTATGGTATTTTTGTATTTTTCTTGTAAATTCTGATGCCTTTTATTTTTAATTTTAAAATGTGTAAACTCCCAGAATTTAATGAAAATTGAACACTTTGCTACAGAAATCTGTAGAGATCCTCTGTAATTTCAGTCCACAACAAGCAGTGCTGCAAACTCAGCTCTTTAATGTTAACTAGGCATAGGCTGCATGTCATGGCCATGGGCTTCCAGCAGATTTCTTTGGGCAAGAAGGGACAAACACAACAGGAAAGGAGAAAGAATCTTTTTAGGGTGATGCAAAAGAGGTGTCTGCAAGCAGGGAAGTGCCTGAAAACCTGGTGTCCTCTTGGACAAGGAAAAGCTGCCCCTCTGTCCCCTCCCTCATACCACAAGGATGAACAAGGCCCAGCTGCCCACAGCGGAAACTTTGGGAATAAAAACCAACCTCCTTTTTTTTCCTACACGTGTACACAGTTGTGTTTTGGCAAATCCTTACTTGTCTTTCCAGTAATACTGTCCCCAGTGTCCAGATATATCTTCAATGCCAGCCAGCAAGTGATCCAGGAACTAAAGAGGAGAGAGAGAGGATTTCACTCTACGCCGGCTGCATACGCGATGAACGCGGCCAGCAAACAGCAAAAGCCACACACACAACAGGGCATGGGCTGCTTCCAGCTCGGGATATGGAGCTGGGAAACAAGGAGAGAAGGACTGGGATAACTCTCCATCCCCTCATCCATTGGTGCTGGAGTATGAGTGGTTTGCTTTCAGGCGTGGGCAAGCAGAGGATAAATCCAGAGGGCCGTGAATCTGCTCTCTGTGATGGGTACAGCAGGGCTGATGGCTCCCATCTTCTGGGCCTTGGCCAGCAGGAAAGGCTCATTTTTGGGGTTTTGAGGACAATTTGTCTCAGGAAATCAGTGTCTTCACTATATAAATGTAGGTAACACATAAATGTTAATCCTGAATAATAAATACTGCCCTCCCCCAGATACTTCCCACTAAATAAAATCATCATATCATACTGTATAATAATACATTACTATTTTTTTAAATTATTTTTGAAATCCCAGCCTGGTTGAGTTTTCCACCTCAAAGTTAAATCCCTGTAATTTCCCAAACTGCTTTCCCTCCTAATGGAATCTCTAAACTGGGAGAGGGCTCTGCTCTGCTGCCCTCCACACTCAGGTACTGATGATCCTGGAACTTTCTACAGCTCTGAATTTTTTAAAAACTATCTCTTTGGGGGATCAGAGACAGAGAAGTTTCCGAGCAGCTGGCTCAGCCCTGCAGCCTGGTGTGGGTTTAGTGCCCTCACATGGCTGCTGGCAGCTGTGAGCTCCACAAACACAGCACTGGAGGGAAGCACTGAAGTGTCCCATCCCTGGGAATGTCCCATCCTTGGGAATGTCCCATCCCTGGGAATGTCCCAGGCCAAGCTGGACAGGGCTTGGAGCAACCTGGGATAGGGGAAGGTGTCCCTGCCATGGCAAGGGGTGGAATGAGATGAGTTTTAAGATCCAACCCAAAATAATCTGATTCTTTGGAATTACACTCACGCACTCTGATCATCACTCCTACGAGCAAGAATATCCCAACTATCCAGATGGCAAAATAAATTTGAGGAAGAAAACTGCTTCTGGCTTCTGCATCCCTGATTTCCAACTATCTGCATTTTTACCTTCTCAACTTAATTGGTGCATGGCCATTTTCAGCTCACACCTCCTAATAAACACATTTCTGAGATGATTTACCATTCATATCCTAACAAAAGAACAAAATCTTCTCTGTTCATGACTGGAAAAGTCTGTGTTAACCTCAGACAAAGCCCCGCAGTCCAACCCCATTGTGAGGATGCCAACCAGGTTTTACAAATGTCCTCAGCCCCAATGGCTTTATTGCTAAAGAAACAATGACAATAATATTGCTGAAGGAGCCATAGCCACAGAAACGTGGCTGGGATTGAACAATTAGATTCAAAAATATATTAATTTTCCATTGAATGCAGATGAAAATGCAAATGCTCAGGTGAGTGGGAGAGCAGCTGACCTCATGGAGCTGAGCCTCTCCTTGAAGTCCTCCGTGACTACAAATACCAACATTTGGGTGGTGAGAACAAGGGGAATGAAATCCCACCTTTGAGTTATGGATGTAGAATCACAGGTTGGATGGGAACTTACATCTCATCTCATTCCAGCCCCTGCCGTGGGCAGGGACACCTTCCACTATCCCAGATAGCTCCAATCTCCACCCAACCTGGGCTTGATTAATTCCAGGGATGGTGCACTTCAGATGTTCCCTCCAATATGGCACCAAACTTATCTTCCCTTTCCTTATTTTTTGCAAAAATATCCAACCCAGTGGTGGTGATGAGACTGGAAATTCCTAATCCTAAAAGCAACATGGAAATTCCTAATGCTAAAAGCAATCAAACCTCATTTTCTTTCTCTTGTTCCAGAGACCAGAGAAATTGGAGTTAGGTCAGAGCTTAAAGTTTTGGATAAGAAATCATCTTTTTCTCTCATGTTTGTGCACTACCCGATGTTACCTCACCCTGACTGGTGGCTGCTTTTCCAATGCAAAAAAATAAAAACCCCATGGTTAGGAAGCTGAACAGGACTTCCAACATGGAAAGGGGCTGGTACAACTGCAGATTTTGCAAATTTGGGTAAAACTGCAGATCTGCAGGGTCCCTGGAGACACACACATTGCAGGAGGTACCAGAAAGCTCTGGTCATGTTTTGATGGATGCTCCACTTACCCTGATGTGGATCTGCTCGCCCACAGTGGGAGCACTCTCCCTTTTCCTCTTGACAGCCAACAGGTCAACAAGGGGGCGAATGGTCATTCCCTGCAGAATAACCACAGACAGAAATCAGCCTTTCCTCACACCCAATTTTCCTGCACTGGAACAAAAGCCATCAGCATGGGGCTGAGCCACAGTGACCCTGTTCTGGTGTTTGAGCAGCCTCCCTCACCTGCCCTGCTTTCTTGGCCGGATAAAACCTGTAAAGCTTCAACAGGACTAGAAATTGTTCTCCCAGGTGTACCCCAAACACTTTGTTTGCTCCTGGTAGGAACCTGTCAATGGAGAGGAACTCACAGGGAGGCTTCAGGATGGAGGGAAGAAACTTTCACTCGCCTCCTTCGGCCTCTCTGAGACCACAAAAAGCCAACCAAGAATTCCAAGGTCAAGCCTGTGGTTTGCTGTTGCTGTGTTTGTGGTTTGCTGCTGCTGCTCATGGCCTCCCAGATGGAAAGGGGCTCAAAACAATCCAAGTTCAAATGCCTGAAATGGGGATAATCCCTGAGATTTCTCAGCACGGAGCCTCCACCAGCAATTGTCTGCTCACTCCTTCAGCACTGTGTGTCACACACCATTACTCCAGAGATCTCTGATGGCCAGACAGTGGCTGAGCTTCCTCATCAAAGCATCCACCTGGTGGGAAGGGTCAAGGAAAAATTTTAATATCCTTTAAGCCTCGTGAGAGAACTAAAATGCTGCTGTGGTGTGTTTCTTAGTCCGGCTTCCGCATGAAATGACTTTTCTAGGACATGTTTACAGCAAAAATGATGGAGTAGTTGATGTTTATGACTTCTGAATGTCACAAATGCTGGCACGGAGAAGAGTTGAACACATTTTTAATTGCAGAAACAATTAATGTGTCATTTTAATAGCTAATAGCAATAAAAAATGTGTCGCTATTGAGTCAATAACACAGAACGCACAAATTCCAGAATAACAGATATTACAAAAATTAAGCAGAAACTCTGCAATTTGGCCTCTTGCCTTCCTGGATAATCAGCTGCAGTTGTTTCCATTTTAAAGCAGTATTTGGGACTGTTATGGGAATCCCACGTGTCATTCCAGCCACACATCATTTCCCTGCACACCTGCAGGTCCCCTGTGCTGCTCCTCCATCCATCAGGGAAAACTCATCCCAGGGAGTGTCTGACAGCTCCATCACAGCTCACACATTTTCCACCTCCAGAAATCCAGTGGGACAGTGCAGGCATCAAACAACCTGCCCCTTTCACAATTATTCATGCTCAGAATTTCATGGCAGAGGTCAGGGGCCAGTAAGGTGAGGGAGTGAACTTCCAGCAGTATTTGATTTTAAAACCACACCAAGAGGCAGAACAATGAGGGGAGGTTTGTGACATTCCAGACAAGCCCAGAGAGCTCCCTGGAGAAGTTCCTGGTCTGCGTGGCACACAGCCAGCCTGCTTGGAAGCACTGAGGAGCTGACAATGGCTCAGGCAACCTCCTCAAAATGATTAAGCCGGATTGTTGTGGGAAGAGCCTTATGCAACTGGGTTAGGAGGACCAAAAGAGAGGAGTTTCCTGGCTTGTGGAATGCTCTGATAGAGCCACGGGTGGCCAAGCCCAGCTGCTCACAGTGTGGTCATTCCTCTGTGGCAGGAGGGTTTCCAGCCAGCAGGGCCAGGATTTCCAAAGGAATCATAGATGTGGAGGGTTTGAGCACTGACAAGATGGCCCAAGCCAGCCTAGAAGGGGCCAAATCACCTCTGCCTTGGTTTCTGTCCTATTTTAACACAGACACTCCCCAACAAGTCTATATTGAGATAATTGTGAATATAAAGAAAACATTCCACATAAAACAAGAACAGAAATGTCCTCTATGTACACAAGTTGTTTCACAGCCAATATTTATCTTGCCCTTTTCACACAGAGTGACGACAAAATACTCTGGGATGGTAAAATTACTTCCTCCCCAATAATCCATCGATGTGTCTGGCAGCAGCACCACAAACTTGATTTGCAAACCCAGGTTTTTGAAGGGTCTGTTACACTGACCCACCTCTTCCTGTGCTGAGCTCATTCTGCCTCAGGTTTTATATAATTTTCCTCTTTTTCCCTGCCCTGTTGTGGTGGTGCCCTGGCAGTGCAGGTCCCTGCAGCCCAGCTCAGCCCTCTGCAGACACAGAGCTCCTGAAAGGCTGAGGGTCAGCGGGGCTCCCCAGCGACACAGGGACCCTGTTTAACTCTCACCCTTTTGCACGGGGCTGACTTCACCAGCTGAGCTTCGAGGTTACACAAAAGCCCTTGGATTTCCCAAAGCCTGGAGCTGCTGCCTGGAACAGCCTTTGTGTGAGGCTCGGGAGAGGGAGCAGCCTGCACAAGCGGGCATGCCTGGGGACCCGGGCTTTTCAAAGTCTCACCCACATTTGCATCTTAAAACTTGTCAAGCTCCACCTAAGCACATCCCCCATGCTGGTGGCCCCTGCTCTCTCCTTTCAGGCTGAGGCTGTGCCCTGTCCCACTGCCCTGCAGCGCCCAGCTCTGATCCCATTGGCACAACACGCTCTGATCCATCCTCCAGCTCAGGATGAGGATTTGGGTGGATGTGGGGAAGCAAAACCAACCCCAACACTCCACATTGTCCCAGTGCTTGACATCCACCAGAGGGGTTCAGTCAGGAAAAGCAGAAGGAGTTTGCTCTGAGGGTGATGCTCGGCCATGGGGCCCCCTCTGCAGCTGCCATCTCCATGAGCCACCATCTCCCAAAGGCACAGAAACTCCTCTGCTCCTGGGCAGCAGCTCCTCATGGACCTTACCTCCCTGACCAGGAGCTCACAGGGAGCTTTTCTACATGAGATCTTTCCCAAACATCCACATCCCACTCACTTCAGTCCTGTGAAGAACCACTCTTAACTTTTTAGGATAAACAGCAGGTGAACATCGGCCTAGCTCACTCCAGCACCAGACAACCCCAACTTTTCCACCACAGCCTCCTTCAAATGTGGCTGTGTTTGCCAGAGGAACCAAGAGCTGTACTTTAGAGAAGCCCTTAGAGACCTGCTGCTGGTCAGAGAAGAGCAGGGACACATCCGAGATCCCACAGAAAGCTGCAGGAAAGGTTTTACCACTAGATGTCACAGCAATGCTGAGAGCTGCTGCTCCTCCGAGTCCTGGAGCACCACAATTCCCTAAAACTCAGTGTTGGAGCACCAGAAGCCCAGCGAGAGGGAGAGGAACCTTCTCCATCAGGCCCTGGAAGGGACCCAATCCCCAATCGGAGCCCAACACTGGCTTTACCTGCACGAACACGGTGAAGAGGATGACAACAGTTGTTGCTGCAATGAAGAGCTTTTTCCTGTGGAAGTCGGGCAGCAGGAAAACCAGCGAGAAGCAAATGGCCCCTCGGAGCCCCCCGTAGGCAATGATGAACTGGTCCTTACTGGTGATGGTGTTCACGTGAAATCTGTTCACAAAGAAAGTCAGCACAAGAACCCCTGGAAAGCAGGAAGGTAGATTGAGGCACATCAGTTAAACAGAACAATTAGAGAAAACTCATGATCTTACATCTTCCAGAAAACATCACAAAATTGGGAAACACCAACTACAAGGGACAAGCCAGGGCTCAAGGGGGTATATTCCCGATACACCACTGGGGAACTTTTCACCCAGTCTGATTCAACAGGTTGAACTTTGCTTTGTGCTGATAAAACTTAATCCTCAACATATTTCTAATTGGAGAGATTACAAATATTGACTGGCTACAGTCCTGAAATATTAATTGATTTATTCTAATTGGTGCTAACAAATGACTGAATTGCTGAGGTTACAAATGCTTTTGAGGCAAATCATCAGCAACAACTTAACCACAAATTGCCCTCCTATTTGCCAAAGTTTCCAAGCAGTAGCTTGGAAAAGTAGCTATATTCGACCTGTGTTAATGTTATTTCTTTCCCTCAGATTTATACTACACAAATCGAAGGCCAGGTGAGGTGACACAGCAATTGCTGTGATTTACAGCCATTTGCAAATGCACAAACAGATGCAGAAAGGTACAAAAAGTCACGCCTTAAATCAGTAGGCCGTGATTTTAATCCCAATGGATGTGATAAACATCCCATTTCCCAAAGATTAACAGCCATTTTGAGAACTGATGGCACCTCCTGTCACTGACTTTTGTTAGGAATTAGCTGGAGCCACAGCACTGTTGCTTTTCTAGAGGGTGTTTGCAAAAGAAATAAAACCAGTGCATTTATTATGTACATATCAAACATCTTCCCACACACCTCCAGCTAAAAATAGCAGAACTTTTACTGTACATTGGAGGAGTGTGAGGAAAACAAAAAGCTGGGCATGTTTGGGAATAGGGAACTCAGTAAACTGAAGCCTGTGGCACCTTCCCCATCTCTGGAGCTCTGCAAAACTGGTGCCCAGACCAACAGACAGGAAGCACTTGGGTGTCAAGGTTCTTTGCAACTTAAAAAATAAATAAAACAAAGCCTCCTTCAGATCACATCCACCCCTACTCTACAGCTCAGGCAGCGCCGATGATTTAAAGGAACAAAATTTACTTGAGCTGATATCCTGGCCTTTGTCTTAATTTAATCCTTCCTCATAAATTATTATTAGCATTCCCTAAACTAATTCAAGGCCAGTTTGCTCCAAGAGATGACATACAATTAATCATTCTGAGCAGAATGTATTTTCTCCTGCAGATACCTTGGGAAAGAGCAGGAGGAAATCTCCCCAGGGCTTGGATATCAGCAGAGCCCCAGTGCTGCCATGCAAGGCTCCACTTTCCTTTTTAGATGATCTTCCTCATACCAAAGGAATTCCCCAGTTTCAGCAGAATCATTTCTCAAACATTTAAAGCACTGAGAGTGTTCCGTGAAGGACTGGGATACAGTTTACACACCAATCCCAGCACAGCCCACCCAAAAATCCCCAATTCCTGCAGGGAAATGTGGGGACACCTCCATTTTCTGGATCAGTGCCTTAAGCACCTCCAGAATCCTGGAATTAAGATTGGAAAAACCCTTGGAGATTATCAGGTTCAACCATTCCTCCAGCACTGCCAAGGCCACCACTAACCCATGTCCCCAAGTGTCACAACCACACGTTTTTTGAACACGTCCAGGGCTGTTGTCTCCATCACTGCCTTGGGCAGCCCATTCCAATGTTTGGCACCCCTTCCCACAAAGAAATCTTCCCAACTATCCAATTATTAATTAATTAATATTAATTAATTAATCCAGAGCTGCTGGATGGCTCAGAGGAGGCCAAGGTCTAATCTCAACCACTCCAAGGAGGAGTTTCCCAGTCTGGCTTGGGGCAGCCCCTTCCCAGTTCTCACCCTCCCAGCTTCCCAGGAAGGTGCTGCAGGACAGAACACCCTGCTCAGGAACACCCAGACAATCTCTAACCCTGGTTTGTGTGTTCTTATTTAATTCCAGGAAGATTTTCACTGGAGAAGCGTGGCTGCAGCCTGAGCCCTTCCCTAATAATGTGCTGCATAATTGAAGCTGCTCTCAGAAGGGCTGTGCTTAGGGGGGATTTTTGGGGTACTTTTGTAGCATTGCTATATTCTTATATCTTGCAATGAAGAATTTTTTAACTAAAAATAAAAAATCAAATTCACTGAGAACTCCTTTTATCTGAGCAAATAATTTAAGAGAAATCACTTAATGGAAATAAAACACATGAATGTATAAAAAACTGACTAATGAGCACATTTCCAAGTATGGTGCACAGTTATTAAAACAAACTTTGGCATGTCCTAACAGCCAATAAACCCCATTCTGCTCTGCCTTGCTAATCATGCCCTAACCTATTTAAACAATTTCTTGAAGTGTCTGTCAAATTTGAGTTCACTGCTTGACTTACTGGTTTGTAAACATAAATCCTGTCGAACGTTTTTAAGCGCTCGAATTCTTTGCCAAAAATGTGTGCTGTTATTTTCATAAATATTGTTAAGATATAAAAATACCCATAACTGAGGCACTCGTTAGGTGCCAAACACCATAAGAGGAATGGAGGTCCAGCCTTTCCCAGCATGGAACCAGCACAAGATGCAACTGAGGAGAATAGAAACAAAGCACATCTATTTTTTTCTGGTCATTTTTAATGCGTGAAAATGGGATCCCAGGGAATCCTGGAACCAGGACTTGGGTTTGCATTGTAATTGTGGCCAAAGAAACTGCAGAGATGAGTTATCAGGAGAGTATTTTCCTGCCTTGCCCCTCATTATCACCAAACCTTGGTCTCTTTATCGCTGTGAGGTTGGTCACACTCCCTGATGGGTTTTCCAGGGATGCTGTAGATTCTCCATCCATGGTGATAACCAAAAGTCACCTGTAACATTCTTGCCTGTCTGACCCTGCTCGAGCTGGGGGTTGGAGCAGATGATCTCCTCAGGCCCCTGCCAACCTCAGCAATTCCCCAGTTCTGCCACTCTCCACCCTGACCTGAAATTCTCGAGCAGAAGCATCCTCACAGTTTAGGTCCCAAATCTCATCTGGAATGAGAGCTACTGGAATGTTCCTCCAGCTTCCCAGTGAAGGATGCTGCTGTACACCAGCTTGTTATGAATTAAATCCCTTAAATTCAGAGGATTTTCATGGATCTCTCACCCCAAGGTAGGTACCTAAAAATTCCCTCCTGCTGGGAGAATTCCAAGGGATTAAAAAACACTGAAATGGAAAAGGAGATTGTGGCAATGAAGGAGGGTAAAGGAACACCATGGCAAAAAAGGGACATTGATAAAACAGATCTCATGAGAGCTTCTATCCAGCACCAATGAGTGCAAGAGCAGGGAACTGCAGCAGAATGCAAGATTTGGAATTGAGTGAGATGGAGGAGCAGGAAGCATTGGCTGGGATGTCCCAGTCCAGTCTGAGCATTCCCATCTGGAATAATCACACTGCAGAGTGAGCAGGAAAGGAGGATGGAGGGGCAGAGCACCCTCTCAGCTGATGGAATCTCATTCCTCACTCCCATAAACAACACACGTGAAAACCCAAGATCCACAATTTCCCCTACCGAGTGCCCTCCAAACAAGACAGAAAATGACCGTGAAGCAAATGTAGGGCCAGTTCCACTCGTGGTTTTCTCCAATGGTGGAAACTCCGAGGAAGATGAAGATGAGGGTGTCGCTCACACTGCTCCACATCTTCATGAAGTACTTGACTGTGGTGTGGGACTTGAGGGAGATGTTGGCCTCCACGTAACGCTTCATGCCCATGGCACAGGAAATGATGCTGAGGAAGTGAAAAATAAGCAACAGAAAATAAATATGTTTGAAATATGAGAAGAAAAATATGTTTTTCTACTTTAACACAGAAAATCAACACATCAATTATAAAAAAATGGAGTTTCATCAAGTCTTGGATGTTTGCAGACATTTCACTGAGCGCTGATTCACTTCCTGCATCAGGCCGGAAGAGTATCAGGACCACTAGGACAATAAAATACTTCATAGGTTGCCCAAACTGTCCAAATCTGGATTTTAACAGGTGAACAATTCATCACCTGTTGCATTTTATCAGAGCACAAAGCAACACCTCCAACTAACACCCAACTCTTCCCATCCCCACACGTAGTTTCCAGTTCTTTAACTTTGCCAAACTCTGACCTTGCAATTGCCTGGCAATTTTTCATGGATAATTGGTTCTTCAACTTCCAGGGAACATGGCATTAGCCTAATTCATCAGCTTTTCAAATCAATGTATTTTCAGGCCAGCAATCCTAGGAGGTCAAAAATCAATACATTTGCAAGCCAGCAATCCTAGGAGGTCAAAACAATTGAGCGCTCAAAGTGCTGAAACTCCGTTTTTTTTATATTTTAATCCGGACCAAAATATTTTTGTTCTAAATATTGCAGCAGGAATAGAAAAAGGGGTTTAAATTTCCAAGATCTGGCTTGTAGTGCCGTTTGGTAAAGCCATCCATATTTTTATTGCACTGAAAACTGATTCCACAGGGAACATCACAATGTTGGATCACAGAAAAGCCAACAGAGAAGCAGATCCTTGGCTTCTGGGTGTGACCAGGACAGGCAAGTGACCCAAACAAAGGTGTTGAGAGAGGTGGTGGCTCACCCAGAACTATCAATTAAGAGATGCTCAGAGAACTGCCAGACAATTATTGCTTTGCACTGAAAATGCCCTGTTTAACCCCAGAATTTCACTAACATTTTGCATTATTTTGAAGAGAAACATTTGGGTCTGTTTGAATTTAAAATTGGACTTTAGGGAGAGGATTTGTGGCAAAAGCAGAGGATAGGAAAGGCCAGAATTGGGAAAGTCACAATGCTTTTGCTGAGGAATGGGATCCTCTGTTTTCCAGCAGCAGGAAACCAAGATTCAAGTCCCTTTTTCACCAAATTTTGAATTCACATCTTTCCTCTCCTAAGAAAATGTACCAGTACATAAAAATACTCTAACACAGGTCTGGTTTGATTTATCCTTTTTAGGTCTGGCTTGCTTTGCCAGAAAGAGCAACAGGGACTGAACCACTGAACCACAGACTGGAAAAAAAAATAAATTCTTCTGTTACTGTGTCTGCCTCAATAAATAGTGGGGAATATAGTCCAGTTAAAAACTAAGAAATCCAAGTACTTATGGGCAAGTGACTTCCAGAGCTGTGGTTTTGGGGAATGCTTATTGGAGAATGGACAGGGGATCACAGCACAGTCACAGAAAGAGAATAAACTTGTCTAAAGATGAACACTGCCACCAAAGCAAGGGGGAGGGAAAAAGAGAATAAGAAAGGAAAAAATCCAACTAAAACCCATTTGCAGAACAGTTTCACAGACTGAGCTGTATTCAGATTTTTTTATATTTTTCTGGAGTATGTAGAATTGATTTTTTTGGCAATCAAATTATTTTTCAAAGACACAAACTGCCAAAAGCTGCTTCTTATAATACAGTATTCCCTGGCCACAACAGAATGAATTGTTTGAACTCCAGATCTATAAGACAGGCATTTATAATTTGGCAATTAGAAGGGCACAGTGCAGGAATCAGCTGCCTTTGCCATTGTTTTGCTTTAGAAAAAAATGCATTATTCAAAAGAACAGCAAATGGGTTCCATAATGGGTACAGCAGATTGTGATTGATAGAAGGAGACACCATTAGGATTGAATGTTTTCTGCTCCATGACGATTATGCAGCATATTTATTTCACTGTACTGTCTTGCACTCCTATAAATAGGCTTTTCCTACCTATTCCCAGAGCTGGAATTGTTTTCAGTAACACTCAAATATTGCTCCTATTAACCAGCCGAGGAAACAAAATCTGCAAGACACAGGGATGGTTGCTTTATATCCAAAGCAACATCATTAGTTTTAAAATAGAAAATAGATCTCCCAGATACCTCTGTGCTGAGTTGGGAGCCCACTTCATTTTTTATTTTCTTTTTATCTTCTTTCTCATCAGCTGCACAGTTGTTTACACTGCAGCCACTGATGCAGGGTAGGTGCATTTTGGTGTCTTTGGGGGAATATTAAATGGTTGTGATCCTCAGCACCAGCTGACTCAGTTTGGGCAGGAGAAACACACTCAATACAACACAGGGCTGGATCCCTCTGGTTTTCCTCTCTCTCTGCTTTCCAAGGTGAGATTTTGGTGAACATTGGGGTCTTTCTGGCTATTTTTGTCTCAGCATCTGCTCTGACAGTGAGATGTCCAACGAGGTAAGCACAAAGCTTAATTAGTCCCTTAAATCTGAACGATCTGGCTCAAAATTATTCATTTTATTAAAAGATCTACCCAGGTAAAAGAAAATTAAATGAGCTGAATGAATTTCTGACAGCTTTGGCTGAAATTGGCCAGCAGATTCCCAATGTTGCTGGAGACAGAGGTGTTGGTTGACACCTGAGGCCAGACATGAGCTGTGTCTGAGCTTCTGGAGCCAAGTCACAATCTCCAAAGCAGAGGTTTCCATTAGAATCCTCTGCCCCCAAAAAGCAGGAATATTTCAGGCTTCAGTTCCTGTCCCATCACTCACTGCTGTCACACCAAGGCTGCCAGGCAGGACATGCAGATGGGGAAGGGGATGTGAGAACAGAAGTGCTGCAAACCAAGATCAAACCTTTCCAAGGAGCTGACTAAATTCTCCTTGTAACTCTTCCCATGTTGGTTTTGACTGGGCCATGTGGAAAATAACAAAATAAACTAAGAAACTTCTTCTGGCTCTGCCAAACCTGCCAGACCTCTCACTGTTGGAACATCCAGCCTTTCCAAACAAAAACCATGGAGCTCAAACAAACATTCCTCAATAACCTACATAAATCCACCATCAGCCATCATTGTGCAATCTGGGAAACAGAATGACACTTGGAGAGGGGCCTGCTCTTCGTTATACACAGATTTCCGAATTTTAAAGTGTTTTTGGGTATTTTTCAGTGAATATAGGCAGGGAGTTTTCCTGGAGAGAGGAGCTGCAGGGCCTCACTTACGCCACGATGCCGGAGAGGTGGAACATCTCTGCAGTGAGGTAGGACAGGTAGCTGTACAGGAACACAAAGAGGGGCTCGATGACACGGATGTCCTTGGTGAAACGCGTGGTGAAGGCAGCAGTGAACCCAAAACTCAGCCCCACTAAAACTCCTCCCAGCCCAACCACGAAGAATTTTCCAATTCCAGCAAAAACATCCATGCTTTTGATGGTGGGCATTTCACAGAAAGAGCGAAAGAGTTTGTAGAGCACCTGGGGGGGAAGGAAAGAGGGAAACAGCTGTTAACTGGATGTTCACCAGACATGCTCATGACACCAAATACACATTACACCAAATGCACCAAATGCACTGCCGGGATTTCTGCCAGTGCAGCGTCACCTCCTGCCCAGGAGCTCTGGCTCCCACCAGGGGACTGCTGTGGCCCTCATGGACATTTCTGTCCCCAGACACAGAGTCAAAGAGAAACCTGAAAACTTCTAAATTCACCCAAATGCTGCCCAGGACCTCATTGCCAGAGAACTGGAACAGGAGTCCTCTGCGAGAAAGAGTTGTTGATGACTTTTCCCTCAACAAATCACAGAATCACTGAGGTTGAAAAAGCACTCCAAAATCATCCAGTCCAACCAATAACCCAGCACTGCCATGTTCACCACTAAACCATGTCCCCAGGTGCCACATCCACACAGTTTTTAAACACTTTCAGTTGTGGTGACTCCACCACTTCCCTGGGCAGTCTGTGCCAATGCTTGACTGCCTTTTCCACGAAGAAATTTTTCCCAATGGCCAATCTAAGCCTCTCTTGGTGACACTTGAGATTGTTTCATCTCATCCTGCCATTTGTTCCCTGGGAACCAGGGAAAAAAAGATCAACCCCCACCTGGCCACAGCCTCAGCTCAAGGAGCTGCAAAGGGAAATTAAAGGGAAATTAAGTCTTCCCTGAGCCTCCTTTTCTGCAGCTCTTCCATCCCCGCACTCAGCACCATCCTCTGCAGGTTAAACACCCCAGCTCAGGCTGGTCCTTACCACGGTCACGGCATCATTGAGGAGCGATTCCCCAAAAACCAGGATGTGCAGCTTCTCGTTGACGTGGATCTCCTCAAAGACAGCCAGCACGGCCACGGGGTCCACGGCGGCGATGAGGCTGCCGAACAGGAGGTTGTGCAGCAGGGACACGTCCTGCAGCCGGAAGGACTTCACCTGGCAGATGCCATACAGGGAAAAGCCAATCCCAAACACGTTCCAGATGGTGCCCACCACGGCGTAGAGCAGGATGGTGCCGATGTTCTCGAAAAAGGGGCGGCTGGGCATGAAGTAGCCGGCGTCCAGCACGATGGGGGGCAGGAGGTAGAGGAAAAAGATGTCGCTGTCCATCACTGGTGGGGATCTGTCGTTTAACCCATAGATGATTCCCCCCATGATGAGCCCCACAAAGATCAGCAAACAGCTCTCGGGAACGACGGAGGGCAGCTTGTTGTAGAGATGGAACCCTGCAGGGCAGGGAAGGGTAAAAGTGGTGTTATCTCACCAAGGTCCCCACACTCCCACTGTCAGCAGGTTACACCTCAGAGGAGCACAAATAAATTCACACAGTGAGGGTGAAGTTGCTCAGAAATTGGTTAGAAAATCTGAAAGTTACTGAAAATACCAAACTTTCTCAATAACTGCCTGTTCAGACCTCATTTCATCATAGCATAAGGTTAGAGATATATATTGAGGTAATAAACAAAAAGTAATAAACTGCATAAATAAAGCAGTATTTGGAATTATTAATTATGTAATCTAGTCATCAGCCCATCTTCAGCACTAACAGAAATAGCAATTTCTAATTTTAAAGACAATACAGTTTCTATACATTTAAAAAAAAATCACAAAAACCCTTCCCATTAATTATAAACAGGTCCACTTTTAATAGCATTTAATCATTAGCATTTAAAGCTAAAAAATGTCCAATCAAGCCTCTCTTGTGCAATGCCCAACATTAGAAAAACCACCACAAGTACAAGGTGAGTTATTAAAAGAAAAAGTCATTGAAACAAACCTAATTAGAACAAAAATAACAATTTTTAAAAATCTCTGATCATTATTATGCCTTCATGCATGTGACTAGAATTAGGGTCTCATTATGCAGCATGAAATTAGACAGACAAAAAGACTCTTTCCATCTGAAAAATCCTAATCAAACCCAATCTTAGAAACTTCTCCATTCTGAGGAAAAGAAATACAAGGCAAAAAAATGCCTTAAGATAACTTTTATAGCAGTAATTTAACAGAATTTAAGACAATTCCTGGAGAAAAATATTTTTATATAATTTTCACTTGCCTGTGCCCAGTTTTTCAGAGGAAAATAAATCTTTCTTAGATGACCTTGCATGGACAACCAATGCACTGAGATTTTATTTTAGGCAGCCTGGACACGGATGGAATTATTCCTTGACCAGACACATGGCACTTTTCTAAGAATAAGGAATCTTCATTTTAAGATGAAGATGTCAGTGGACCACCTGCACAGAGCGTGGCTGGCAAGGAAATCAAGGGGAACACACACCTTGGTGCGTCCTGCAGTTAAATCAAATTCCTCCTCCTAGAAACCCAGTATTTTCCCTCCTAACAGGAACAGCACTCCCAGGTGTGAATTTCTAGATGGAAAATCACCATTTCCAGATGGAAAACCACATTTCCCTAAAATGCAACTTTTTTTCCACCTGTGCAGTGTCTCTGGCACACAGCAGGCGAATTCCGAGTTTTGACGCATTACCTCAGGTTCTAAAGCAGAGCAGAAATGGAGCAAGGCCACACCACCACAGAGACTCCCCATCCCTCCTCATCCTCTCAGGAGGCCTCACCTATTTTGGCCAGGGATGCCAGCATGATCCAGAGGGTGATTTCAAAGGGCACCTGGACGTGCTGATAATCCAGAGAGAAGAAGGCGTGCTCCGAGGATTCGTTGCCCGGCGCGTCCTCGGCAGCCCAGCTGACGTTCTCCAGCCCCACGTCCTCCAGGGCTCCCACCATGCAGGAGAGCCAGGAGCCAGCCAGGACAGCTGCAGCTCTGCACCCCTGGCTCTCCATGGCCCTGGAAGCCGCAGCTGCTCCTGCTGTGGTGGGTCAGCGGTTGGAAGCGCTGTTTGAAGCACCAGAGCTCGTGGGGGAGGATGCAAAGGGAGGAGCAAATGTTCCACCTCAGGCTGGTTTCCCTCCCTGGTCCATCAGCTTCCAGCTGGGAGATCCCACTGCAGAGTGGTGCTTTTTGGTGCCACGAGCCCAAATAGGGGCTCCTCCTGTGGATGCTTCATTGAGGAAATGCCTCGTGTGCCCTCAGACCAATGGCACAACTCACGTTTTACTCCCAGCTCTTGATGTGTTTTGGCTCCCAGTCCCTCATAAACCACTCTTGGAGGGGAAAAAAAAAATCTTCACTGCTGTTAGAACAGACCCACATACCATAAAAAACCCCATCCTGAAACAGCTCCATCACACAGGGGGCTTCCCTGGATGTCTGCAGTGCCCACACAAAGAACACAACACAAACATCACTGGAAATCAGTTTTCATTTGGTGAAACAAGCAAATCACCCGTTTGTTGGGCTAAATACAGAGCTGCAGGAACAGAGGGCACCTGTGTGGGACAAATAAGGCTCCACAATTGCTTAAAGCTTCCTGTAAAAAAGATTAACAGGAAAAGTTATCTTCATCTCTCTTGAAAACATCAAAAACTGAGTTGCTCAGAATCATTGGAAAAATAAAGGTAGTTGCAACAGTGTTTAACAAAACAGTGGAGAAAGAATGTATTGGGTCAAATTCCTCCATTGTGAAGCTTCATGTAGGCTGGTGATGCTTCAAGAGGCACAGATTTAGCCCAGAGAACACTGGTAATTAAAATCTGGGGCTGCTGCCAGACGGATCAATGGCCTATTTGCTCCCTAAGTGACACCACAAGGGAGTGCCAGTGACAGGCTGGTGACTGACCCACTTCTGAGCTGTGGGGCCCAGGACACAGATCCTCAGCACCACCCCCTGCTCCTCATCCCTTTGCCAAGCAAGAGGAGGATGCATTCTGGAAGGCAGGAGGGATGCAGTGACACCCTCAAGGAGCAACTTCTTTCTGCTTTACCAGGGTTCACTTGGATTTCATTGAATCTGACAATGGTTTAGGTTGGAAGGAACCCTAAAGCTCATCTCATTCCAATCCCCCATCTTTGGGACATCTCCCACTACCCCAGGTTGCTCTGAGCTCCATCCCTTGGCACTTCCAGGGCAGCCACAGTTTCTCTGGAAAACCTGTGCCAGGGCCACACCACCCTCACAGGGAGGGAATTCTTCCTAATATCGAACAAGAAATCACTCATTACTCTGAAGAAGGGAAGACAGTGCTCTTGACAGCAATTAAGAAGTAATTAAGGAATTATTTAGCCAGAGGAAGAGCCATGGAAGCATTTCTGAGCCTGGGCTCACGTCCCAAGCCATCATATTTTCCTCTTTCTGTTGAAATATTGGGTGTTAAAGTTAAGGGTTTGAGGACTTGTTCCATTTGGCAGCATGGGAAAGGAGTTCTGCCAAGCTCCCATTCCCCTCCATCCCCAAATGATCCATTTTGTCTTTTGCTATTCTTACTAAAAAACAAACAGTTATTGCTCACCTACACTTTCCTTAAGCCAAGTTTGCATCTTGGAGGGGGGAAAAGCCTTGCAGTCCAACAGCATCCTGGAAACTGCTTTTGTGTGTAGAATCTATATTTATTTAATGATGGAATCAGAAAAAAACCCAGCAGAGCTGGGACAGAATTTCAGGAAGGTCAGCAGGGAGGATAATTTTAAAATATGCTCCATTTTTCAAAGAAAGCTGCCTTATAAAATCATTAAGGCTGGAAAAGACCTATAAGACCACCAAATTCATTATATATTACCTACAAAACAAGCCAAAAGCCAAAGACAAAATGTTTTTCCAAAGTTCTATGATAACAGAATTCGTGCTGTTCCTCTGGTAATGGCTATTGATATTATTGATCCACTTTTTCATGTGAGCACCATTTGATCCAATGTTTATGGACAGGCTTTCATTTTTCCCCTAATGTAATGCTCTTCCCTGCATTTTTCAGTCTCCAGGCTGGATTTTGATCCTCACAATTGTGCTGATGGGCACCTTGCTCCTGGTGGAATGAGAGAAGAACAGAGTTATTGTGGGATGTGATATCAGTGACCAAAATTGAGGCTCCAGATCCTCTGGGACAGATATTTGGGAGCACCCAGGAGATGTTTAAGTATTGCCACCTTTTTTTTTTCCCCCCCTTTTTTAGAAATAAACTTTTTATTTTATTTTTTTTTTTTTCTGCGTACCCTATAAACCTCCAAGCCACCCATCCCACTTCCCCTTCTGGGAAGGATCCCACGCACAGCTTTGGGGGCAGCAGGAAGAGGAAACCCTGGAAACCCCCGAGCCACCACGTGGGGCCCGCCAGCACATCACAAGCCATGGGGACACTGAGCAGTGACCTGGGGCTGCAGACAGTGGGGAGCCCTGCGGGCACCCAGGCAGGCTGAGGTTCAACAGAGCATCAGCGATCCCAGCCAAAAATCTGGGTTTAAGGAGGATTCAAACAGAGGTACATCGAGCAGCTGGAATATTGATAAGGAACAAGTTAAAAGAACGCATCTCAGCAGAGCTGTGAGCACATTCTGCCTCCTTAATAATGAGATCTGGAATATTTAATTAAAGGATTTCACCTCAGGGTAGAGATCAGTTCCCATTTATTGGCTGCCCCCAGGACACCACACCCTGGTCCCACACATTGTCAGGAGAAATCCAAATGTTCCCTGTTTCTCTTAGTGGAACAAACATAAGCAGGTGATTATTTCCAAGGATGCTTTTGTTATATAAAAATATTCAATAAAACTGTCCCCAAGCCATTTGCCTGTGATCAGTGACCTGTCCTTGCTGTTTTATGGCTGAGCTGGAGCAGAGCTGTGCAAACACCAGCACCAATATCCACACAGAGCATTTCTCACTCTGATTTGTATAAATTTAACGTGGGCAACATGGATGTTTTGCTTTCTATTCTAGGAAAGAGTTTTTTATAATTCAATTACCAAGAAAGAGGAACAAAATTTGGTAGTTTAAAACTTCAAGGCAAGATTTTTAAGAAATTAATTTGCAGTTCTGTTCCCTATTCTATTACACTCATAAATCTCACCCATTTGAAACAAAGAACCAACACAGTTTAATAATAAAAAAAAGTGACAGCAGGTCTGGGTGTTCTCTCACTCATCTTTGTTAACTTTTGTTACCTCTCAGATTAGTAATTAATTATTGAAATATCAACTTTGTACAGTTGAGCTACAAAGAGAAAGGGAATAAATGGTCCATGGGTCTTGGAAATTTGGCAATGGAAAGCAGAAGTGTGTAATCCCTACAGGTGGGGAATGAGAACAAGAAACAGCAACATAGCGGATTAGGAAATTGTATTATTGCACAAAATTAGAAACTTTTTTGAGGAGGATGAAGGATCCCAAAATAGCAAACCAGAGCCCAGGAAAGCAAAGCCCCAACGCAGGAGTGAGAGACAGGAAAACCCTTTCTATACCAGCATGGGGAAAAAGGATAAAAAAATCCTGGGATGGTAGACTGGTTTGGGTTGGAAGGGACCTCAAAAATCATCCAGCTCCAGAGAGCCCATATTTCAGCTTTACCCAACCAGAGACACATTTAGGAAAGATGCTGCTCCCACTTACCCTCAAGGAGGAGCAGCAGTGGTGGGACACAGAAAACCCCGGCAAGCCCCAGCTCATCACTCACCTTTCTTTCAGAAACACCACCAAAAAAAGCCCCAGGAAAAGTGCTGGGATGCCACATTGTTCCCAAGGCATTGCAGTTTAAAGGGCTGTAAAAAATAGCAACAAATTTCCTGCTCCAAAGAGAACCCCAAACAAACAAAGGAGGAAAACAAAGGAAAACAAAGGAAAACAGAGGAGGAAAACAAAGTCTTGATGGACACAGATCACACAGAACTCCCCACAAGTTTCAATAACTCAGCTCCACACACAAATCTCCTCCCACTTTGCTCCAGTACATCAAATATTCCTCCAGATTTTTTGCCTTCCCACAAGTGAAGGGGAATATCCACAACCCCTACATGGAACAGGATAGAAAAGGGAAGGTCTTCAACCTCCTGGGATTCACAGCTCCACACTAAATCCTTTTATTTCCCCCTCATAATGGTGAATATGGGAGTGAAAGGTTCATTAGCACCTGGGCACTCATTTACCAAACCACCACTGACCCTCACAAGTGATTTATATTCCCAACAGATTTATGGGATTGTCACAAATAAATGAACTCAAAGGAAAAGCAGGCAAGGATTAAGTGGTGAGGATATTCTGGTAAAGAAAAGAAAATGAGGGTAATAACAATCAAATATCTGGATTTTTGAAATCTGTATTTAAAACAGGAAAAAAACAGAGAGGAAAAAAAATCAGTTTTGCCATGCTATGTATAAACTAGTGGAGAGCAAGAAAGAACACTGCTAAAATGCAGATTTCAGCCCACTAAAAGTAGTGAAAAGAAAAGCCACTCAGATTTAGTTTCATTTGTTTAACAAGCAAATGGATTTTTCCTGAATAAAAGAGAGATGAATGAAAAATACAAATATTTGGTGTTTGAGATTTTTCTGACAGTCAGCATTTTTAGTCCCAAAGTGAAGGGTTTGGCCTTGCAGGTTTTAAATCCTTCCTGATTTTTCCTGGAATAGAACATTAATTGATGGGAGTTGTTGTTCTGCACACCTGGGCATCCTTTTTATGGGAAATAATCCTCCCTCCAGAGAAAGACACACTTTGAGATTTCATTGCAAAATGGTCGTAAAGCCCTGGAAATCCTGACCTGGAAGGTACTAAAGGAAACCACCACTAGATATCACCATTTGACTATTTAATAACTCTCAGAAAAATTGGTAATGTATAAAAATCCTAATTATCCTCCAGGTTGATGGAGTCACTTTCTAGAGGGGTTTAATTCCCGCAGTTGAGGCAGGCTGGGGAACATCCTGTCTGCAGGATTAATTGGGGAAATGTAAATAAAGAGTCCAGCTTTCTACAGGGGCTGGCTCCCAGGACCTGGTGAATATTCTTCTGTGGGAACACAGAATGAGAGCTGGATAGGAAGGTAAAAATTCCCTGCCAGTATTTCTCCTCCAACATCAGATTTTCTGGCATGGGGATAAAAATAACTCCAGGCAGAATCTGGCCGTGGATGTCTGCCCTGTAAAATATGGCACTGCTTTCCTTGGTAATGGATTCCAGCTGCTGCCCTTCAGCAGGCTGGAAAAGCACCTTTCCAGGGATTTTCCCCATGGAATTGGAGTTCACTGAGGCATTTTTCCTCCTAGTGAAAATGGGCACAGCTCCAGTGCAGCTGATGGAGTTTTACTCAAAGTCATAATGGGACTTAGCGTCTTCCAAATATAAATAAATCCAAAGCAGGTCATGGATTGCAACATGTCAATTAAAATAATATTAAATAATATTGAATTAAAGTAGTGTTTAAGTTAGTAATAACTGTATTTGTCTCATCTTTTTAGAAACTGACAGATCTTGCCCCTAAAAGGTATTCTATAGCAACATCTTTCTTCCTACAGAGAGAAATTAATTTTGAGAAGTTACTTAAATTGTGGGTTAAACCAGTTTAACAAATGCTGGGGGGAAAGCACATGGACAATATTTTTCCATGGGCAAAACAACATAAAAATGAGTAACAAAATACAATGTGTTTTACATTAACCATGTGCATTTACCTGCACCTTAATTTGTGCTGTAAAAACAGAGGTCATTGAGGTGGTCTAAATTACCTGTTTTTCTCAAAACATTGCTGTCATGTGGTTTTATTTTCATTCCAGCTAAAATTACCCACATATTTAATAAAATTAATTTTAAAACACGCTCTGAAACCAGTCCTAAGAAGGGATGAGATGAACACAACTTCCCAGTGACCTCAGGTTTTGGTGAACTGTCATTATTTATGTGTTTTCTCCTGTGCCACTCCATTCCTGTCCCGGGGATGGAGCAGCAGATCCATCGGGGATTGTCCCAGAGCAGCAGCTAATGCTGATCCATCGGTTTGGATCCCTGGGCTGGGGAGAGCAGCAGAGCAGGGAGGGCTCCTCCAACGCATTCCCCAGCCAGGCAAGGGCAGAAAACCACCCCAGCCTGGAGCTCAGGTTTGACCTCCGACTTCCTCATTTCCTGAGGAAGAACCTCGCGCAATTAACTCCTTTCCAGACTTGGGCTTGCACTATAAACAGATCCCAGGGGGAAGCAAGGGCTGGGGCACGGCAGCACAAATGGCACCGAGCACTTCTTGCCGTGGTAATTGCAAAGCCTTTGGCTGCTGCTGCCCTCTGGAACATTTCCCATCTCAGCCTCAGGGAAATCGTTCTCTGCGCCTCCACCAAGGAAATCTGGAGAGCTCTGCCCACCCTGCGCCCCTCTGAAATTTAATGAAGTCATTTGGCCCCTTCCAAAGGACTCCTGGCCTGATTTTGAACGCTGAGGAGGAGATTGATGAGACACACATGGAATTGGGGCAATGCATAGGGAAGCAAATCATCCTTTTCCTGCCATGCTCCTAGAAAGCAGGGATGAGATTCAGTACTGCTCACACTCCTTGCACCAAGGTCAGTGGGAATTTTGGATCAGGCAATGACCAGTCACGTCTTGGATGTGTATGAGTCTGATTTTATTAATTTGTTTCCTTATCAGGAATTATCTTTCCCTGTCATTTTAATAAAGAGAGAGAAGTCCTTTAACTGCCCACTCAGATCACTTTTCCCTCAGGAGCAGTTTTTCCTCAATCCTGCTGATATTTTCTTTGAGTTCACAGATGATTTTAAGAAATGCCCAAGAAATAAAGATTAAAACAAACAAACAAAAAAACCCCAACCACAAGCAAAAAAACCAACAAGAAACTTTATTAGGAAAAAAAAAATTTCTGCAGAGCAGGTAATAGTCCAATTCATCGATCATTTTACAGTGGTGACATAATGAATAATTTCCAGCTGAAATATTTGCTGAGAAGCCAGAGCAAAGGGAGAAAATGTGTTTCAGTGCTAAACAGCAGTATTTCCATATGAAAATCTGCATTTAAATTTCCAAATGAAGATGCAGGAATCTTGCACTATTTTTTCAGGAATGCTGCAGTCATCTTTGCTTGCTGATTTTGCAGAAAATGAATGCTTTTATGTGTGGATGTGGCACTTGAGGACATGATTTAGTGGTGCTGGGTTGATGGTTGGACTTGATCTTAGCGGTCATTTCCAACTTCAACAGTTCTATGATTCTATATATATCATAAAAACAATGATTATGATTAACCAGCATTTTGGAGAGAAATTAATTTCAAATTCTCCATTAAAAACCAGAAAACAATGACCTTTACTTGTCCTGCTACCAAAGGGGTTTAAAACTCAAAATATTAACTAGAACAAGTGTAGTGTGCAAATGTTTCCATTTCCCAACCTAATCCTCGCAGTGAATCACTCATACCTGAATCCCATCCCTCTCCTGAGCTGAGCAGCTCAGTCAGGATGTGAATTCCATCCTGCAGCTCCATTTTGCAGCCCCTGTGTTGGAGATTTGGAGGTTTGGGGTGCTGAACTCGGAGCTGTTCCTGTTGGGAGCGTTGCGGGAGCTGAACAAAGCCAACGAGTGCAGGAGGGCTCCCCTGGCTCTGGAGGTTTCTATGTTCTGCTCCTGGGAGATCTGAACACTTATCTGGTCCAGGCTGTTCCTTATCCAGCTGCAGGTCAGCAGGTTTGTTATGGAACCACACCTGGCCAGGCTTTCTTCAAAAAACTGTTTGTAGAGCTCTGCCACTTTGGCCTCCATGTACTTGTTGAGCGTGGAGTTGGACAGGGGCTCCTCGCTGAGCAGGAGGCTCCTTTCTCCAGCTTCATCTGCAGGCAGGGACATCCCAGTGGGCTTTTTGGGATGCTCACACAGAGGGGACTGACCCAGGGGAATGTCTATGGAGAGCAGCACAGGCCCGTCGGGGAGCTCATCACACCCGCGGTCCAGGACACAGCCCGAGTCACACGTGGGGCCCCCCACGCGGTCCCCCCCGATCTGCAGGTCAGGGTAGTTCTGGTAAATGCTGTTGCAAGGCCAGGATCTGTACAAATCCACCTGGTCCAGGCTCCCTCCTCTCCTGGGGATGTGTACAGCTGGGGATGCAGTGCCTTTAAGCAGCATTCCCTGATCCTTCGCAGGCTCCTTCCCTATGGATCCCCATCGGGGGCTGCTCCCGGCTTCCCCTTGGCTGCTTCTGGCAGAGAGCTCCTCCCGCTCCTCACATCCATCAGCAAAGCCTTTAATTCTTGGGATGTCTACAAGTTTCTGTCTCCAGATTCCCTCTTTGGCCTTTTGGGATGCAGGGGATTTGCGAGGCTTATCTTGATGACAGCTTTCTCTGTAGATGAGCCTCGTTAGGATGCCTTCTGCCAGCATGGTGACAAGTGTGAGCAGCAGGGATCACCAGAGTTCCATGGAGCCCTGGGATGGAGAGACAGGCACAACACAACAGCAACAAATATTATTGAACAACGATTACATAATAATTATATTCTTATTATTATTCTTATTATTACTAGTGAACAGTGCACTTCTCACAAAGACAGTGATTTTTCTTTCCCTCTCAAGCATTTATTTTTAGCAAACATTAAGCTGCATGCTTTTCCTCTTTACCATGTCCACAAAAATCATTCTGAAGGTACAGGATGGGCTTTAATCAGCTGCTTCATCTGTAACATCCCTTCTGCTGCCAGGTCTCTTCCTCATCGTGGCTACTTCAGACAGATTGTACTTCATAAGCTGTAAAAATCAGCAGAATCATTTTACTTGTCTGTATCAATACCATCAGTAATTCATCAATGTTTTCCATTACAAGACAACCATTTCCAAGAGCTAAAGAGGTGACATAAAAGGAAATAAAGATTATATTCCTATTTAGAGGCATTTCTGACTTGAGCACTTCTGTGAGGTGCCAAGGAGCTTAAAAAAAACTGGAGAGTTCTGCAAATAGAACAAAGCTGTATTCAAAATGCAGATCAAATGTGTTTGGAGTTCCTCTTAATGATGAACTTAAAAGATATAAATAGTTAATTGCCTTCCTCAATAGTGATAATAGTGAAAAGATAAGTATCTAAAAATACTTTACTATACTTAATGGTTCCTTATCATCCTTTTCCAATTCACCTACTGTTAAAATCAATGGGAATCTTCATATAAAGAGTCTGACCTGAACCACTGCTCTTATAGAGGAATGGGAAACATGAACATAAGAAAATCATTCCGTTCTTCAAATATCCTTTAAATCTCTGCATAATTGAAGTATCCACAGACCCAAAGTGTGCTTGTGGCTCAACACTTTTCACCATGCCCCTACACCCTGGTATATTTGAAACTCCTCACTACACTGGGTCACTTTTCAATCCCAGTGCTCCTTCCAGGAGCTATTCTAAAACTTCAGTTATTTGAGAGATGGAAATTTTCACCTTTCCCCCAAAATTTACACACTGGCACAGCACAACTGTTTGGTTTTTTATTTTTGTGGGATTCTTTATTTTTGTGACAAAGAAGCTGAAAGGAACACTGGAATTTCAGGCCAAAGCAGGCAGGAAAGGCAGCAGACCTGGTTATCAACAGAGTCATTTACATATGCATAAAGCAGGGCAGCATTTTCTTAAGCACTTATGGGAACTTGATAAACCAATTTCCAAAGAAAGAAGAATTGGCAGTCTAAATCTTGCTAAAGATCCATGGAATTTGGAATGCTCTGTGCCTTGTAGGACATGGGTAACCAGGTCCTTACCCTAGTCTGTAGGACCTCAGGGTACCCAGCTCCTTACCTGCTGATAATTTTGGTTTATTGCTTTGAAAGTGCTCATGAAGAGCTAAAACTTGGTAATCTTGGAAAAACCGGTCTCCTCCAAATGAAATAAGTGGTTCCTGTGTTCTGGAACGAAGCATAAGGGAAAGAAAAAGGCACAAAAAGCCCAACTCACCAAGCCCAGCCAGGTCCAAGATGGATTTCCCCGAGCCCAGAGCCGTCCTGCAGAGCTGCTGGGAGGGGGCAGACGGTTCCCCAGCCTTTCCTCACTGCTGCCTGTGCACAAGAAGCCTGATGTGCTCATGATGCAACTCCCCAGCATTTTGAACTCATAAAACAGAAGTGATCCCACTGGGAGAGGGCGCGGTTTTTGAACACAAAGAGAGGGCTACAGCTAAAAGAGGATGTTTGAAAATGAATTGAGATGTTCCTGACCACGGTGTGATGCTGAGGAGCTGCCGACAGCCAGAACGGGGCACGAGGAAGGAGCAGAGAGTCGGGGCTGAAATCGGAACCGAATTCCACCAACACTTCCACTGGCAGGAGCTCGGTGCTGCTCAGCTGACTCGTGGACTTGCACCACTTCCCCTTTGGAAACAGGCAGCCAAATTTAGAGTCTGGTGATGTGCCGCTCATGGGGAGGAAGTTGGCAACTTCCTTTCCCCCGGATTTTGATGAAATACCCTCTGTCTGTGACTGGCAAACAGGACAACGTGCCAACCTGAAGGCAGCAGCCAAGGGACAGCTCTGCACAGTCGTGATGCTCCTTGACCAAACCTGCTCTTTAGGGGTTAAAAAATTCCCTCTGGCTCTTCCCATGGTGGTTTTAGGTGTCCTCTTCAAGCTGAAGCCAAGCTCAGGCACTGAGCCCTCTCCTCAGCACAGGATCCAGCCCACAGACACTCTGAAGAGTTTTCTGCTGGTGACTTTTCTAAATTTCCTTTTTCTCAGAATTTAAAAAAACCCCAACCAAGCAGAAGCTGAATCTCGTCTAAGTACAAGACAAAAGATTCTAAAAATACACTGTTTAATGACAGGAGCAGGACACAAATTATCATCAATGCCATGGGCAGGGCCACCTTCCACCATCCCAGGTTGCTTCAAGCCCGGTCCAACCTGGCCTTGGACACATCCAGGGATGGAGCAGCCACAGCTTCCCTGGGCAATCTGTGCCAGGGCCTGCCCACCCTCACAGGGATGAATTTCTTCCTAATATCCAATCTAACCCTGCCCCTGTCAGTAGGAAATCATGTTGTGCCTTGGAAATTAGGTTTGGAGTAATTTTGGCCATACAGGTTCAATGAAGTCTGTAAAGTTGTCTCTCTTCCTTCATTTTCTCCTGTATTTCATTAAAAATTTCAAGTTTTTATGGAGGCAAAATGAAAGCTATTTTTACTCCCACCAAATAGATATAAAACTCATTTAATATTTAAAAGCTGTTCAAAGTTAGCTGATTTTTAATCATGTTACATGAGCAATTTCTGCACAGAAGGTGTGGCTGGGACTCCAGCAGAGTCACTGCCCACAGCCCTCGGGGGCAGGAACCAGGGTGGATCAAATTCCAACCAGTTTTAAAGCTCACCAAGCTTGCAATTAGTGCCAGCTGCAGCTGGAATTTTTGTGCAGCTGTTTCAACAAGACACAAAAGTAACAGAGAGGAAGAAATCAAGTCAGGTAATTTGCGTGGGGTGATTAAAAGCAAATCAACTTCCATTTCATAGCCAGCAACCTGATCTGTGGAATGTGTCCCTGCCCATGAGCTTTAGCATCGCTTCCAACCCAAACCAGTCTGGGATTCAGGTGGTAAATGCATCAAAATCCAAGGAAATCAATGTATTCTCTCAATTAGATCTCACCAAAAAGAAATTCCCTTTTATTTACAAAAATAAAGTCAGAATGAGATAGAACCAAAGTCAGTTCAGAAGCTGAGCACAGATTGCAGTCAAGATAAACAGCAAGGCAAGGATGTCAGAATTTAGAGCTGACTATACATTGAAAAAGAATAAAAATTTACTCTTATATCATTCATATATGGAGAAAACAGATACCTCACTGTATGATACTATATGAACTATGGCTGCATGTAAACCAAGAAGTCCCTTCTTTCAGCACAGGCTGTGCACTTTGCATGCGCATAAACATGACACAGATATTGACTGGTTAGAAAGGTTTTATGTCAGAAATCGTGTTCTGTGTTGTGGTTTTTCTCCTAAGCCCAGCGGCTCCGGCCCTTTATTTCCCATTCCAAAGGAATTTCATTCTAACACCGCCCCACCCCTCTCACAGAAACCCCGCACACACACGCCCATGGCGGCTTAAGTAGAAGAGGGGCGGGG